AGATTTTCTTGAGCTGTTACCTGTATTTCCCGAAGAACTCTGGACCAACACGTTTAGGATACTGTAAGCTGCTCTTTTGTTAATGATGAATATTTACTTCATTTAGTCATTAGTGCGCGGGTACTTCTGCGAGTATGCCGCCAGCAAATAAACTCTCGATGTCCTATAATATCCGCCGCAAAGTATTATTATCTCAAAACCCTTGTTGTTGCGTACATTGTTCATCATGCATGGACCTATGCAGTCAGCAAATACAATTTCTTTGCAGAAATTTGTACACTTCTTTTGACTCATATAATATGTTCATGATCCGATTGTAATGAAAAATATATTCAAAAGAATTTCCTGTACATTTCTCCGCCTACTGGTCTGTTCATAGCTATTACACCGAAAAACACATCCTACAATAGATCCACGCGAATTTTTCACCGGTATTAGACAGTCTGGTGCGCGCAATACAAGAGATAAAAATGTTAGTAATTGAATGCGACACATAAGCTCGTTCGGGGCATATAAAAAAGGCTAACTTCATTGTAATGGACTTCCGTTTAGGCTATATAAATGCCTTCAATCTGGCTCTAGGGCAAACTCGTGGTAGGCGCAGGCATATTATCCACGGTAACGCGTTGCTCGGTATCGACCTAATGAAGTAGCTCAAGCTGATAAAGATTGCATCTAAAAATGATCAATAAAAGATACGATTTTGAAGACCAAACAATATTACGTTTACAAAGTTAAGCAAAGGTAACATCTATAGAAAAGCGGTATGAGAAAAATAGGGTATGTAACCTCAAGAAAATGATAATCCGGATACAGTAAATATGTGACGGTAGTCACATTGTATGGTCGAAACAAAGTATCTAATAAGGTCTTAGTTCACTCGATGTACTGATCGATTATAAGAGCCAACGATCAGGCTTTTATCGAAATGAGTGGACGAAGTTAGCAACCTTCAGTCTGATTTTAGTTAGTAAGAACCGTCAACGTATTCAGCACGATATGTTCTACTGCAACCCTTGGTAGCTGATCAGGATATTTTATGCAAAATATCGTATCACAATCCGCTGTCCAGGATTTCTGATCGTAATTAGCATACAGTATATAACTTTTTAATTGTGATTCGCGAATTCCTCATTTATCATCATTAATTACAATTCATCGTTATCAATGTGTGACGTAAATAAGGTAAACGAAATCAAGGTACGAAAAGAACGGATCAACAGATCCTGAGATGCGGACGTTCACAAAGTAGATTTTGTACTTTCTCGCTTAGCCTTTATTAATGTCTTGTCCTCAGTTCAAGCGCAAAAAAATCGTTCAAAATTTTTAGTTTTTTTAGCCCAAACATCAATAAAGCCGCGCACGTTAGTCATAGATATTCCGCAGCTTTTTGTCAATGGTCGCAATATCAGGGTACCCCAAATCGTGCTGGATGCAGCGATAAGCAATAAAGGGATGAAATATTGCGTAAAGGCTTGTGAAGTCTCTGGATAGAAACATATCCGGTGCTGACATATTAGAAAGGTGAATGCATGCAGATTAATTACATTTAATTAAACGGCCCTCAAATTACATTTGCGGACGTGCAACAGTTTCCACACACTTAGACCTTATAAGAAATTAACTTGAAAAGAACGACATCTGCAACACAATATGTGGTTCAACCGACCACAATTCTCAATGCTTGACTTAATCTTATTCTCCCGGCCCTGTACTTGACGAAGTAATTAGGTCGAATGACTAAGCGACGAGACGCACCCACTCTTGTATATTACTCGATGATGTGAAGCATTTTACTTTTCGATGTGTCACGCGCTCGCGGGCGCCACCATGTTGGATCTATACGAGCGTAATCTCTCTGAGTAAATACCTTGAACTACGACCGCACTTTTTCAGTCCAAATGTTCAGCCAGTCTTCTAAACGACCACACTTTATAATGTTAATGTCGAATGTATCATCGGATTAAGACAGATGTGGTCCGCCTACGAACCAACGTCTTCATGTAATCAGTAATCACGTGAATCCACAGCTATTGTAGCCGCTAGTTGGATAAAGCTTGGATTAAATGACCATATATTTTATTCTCTACACAAGTTGAAATCTCGCGCGGCTTCGCATACTTAGGCATCCGCACTTTGTGCGGCTTTCGCTTTGTACTGCATGACTCGACCACGATGCTATGACCCGTTAGAACTGTGCGATACATCGAAAAGATTGCTCGTTTTTGCATAAGCGATTTAACGTGGGATCACATGATTTACAATGGGTGAGAAGAAAGATGCCAAGGAGTAAGCCTTTACATGATATTTCTAAATATATGTAGATGCCAAAATCATCGTCGCGGATAGTACTCGTGACTATCATGTTTAACCAGAAAGTATATGCGTTTATATTATTATGAGAAAGAGCATTATAGTATGAAAACGAAGCCTATAAGAAATGTAAACGCGCGCAGTAGATGTTTAACAGATAGATGTATCTTATGTTTGTTGAAATATGTGATAATGAATAGATATTCAGCAAATTAATCAGTCAAATATTATATGTGTCATGCAGTTTTTCAGTCACCTTATACCATCGTGATCTCATGGTCATTCATTTAGTTCCTCTGCTTGCTGGTGTACTAAAGATTTAGCGTGCCCAAGTACACTTTTGTTAGTTGTATAAGGGGGTTGGCCATGAGCATATAAATCGTCGCACCTCGTCTTAAATGTATCGTATGATATTTTGACCTCACACTAGAGTAGGCGGCAATGACAAATGATTAAGAAAGGAAATAATAGTAAATAGTAACGTTGGCGAAGAGTGCCAGTGCTTAACAAACCTGTTTAGAACACTACATCTGGCAAATGTTTTGCAAAGTTATTGCGAATTAAAAACTTACGGATGCCAAATCAGTAACTGTAATTTGCTGATACGCCAACTCCAAAGGCTATCTTCTACAGCCGATTAAAGTGTTACATCGAGAGTGTAATTGGCAGCTTTTGTAGCTCAGTCATGCCTAAAAATTGAATAATAGGCAATTTAATAAATGCGACATATCGACCGTGGTTGGACTATCCAACCGAGGCCGCCTGACACCATTTTTGTTTCGCTAAGACGGACGATAATCATTCAATTAATAATCTGAAGTTTAATACTGATAGTCTACAGCGTAGCAGAAGCATCTCTTTAAGCTACAAATTTGGTTTATGTGTTGCTGATCCTGATAAGCATTGTTCGTCTTGGCGCTTACCATTCCATCGCCAATACGGAAGTGACCTACTTTTTGGCGATGTACGTGATGGCCGTTGATAATGTTGCTGTGTAAGTGATTGGTTTCGCCACAATGCGGACCCGGTTGGTCCAAATGGGAGATTTTGAAACAGCTCTCTCTATTGGTGAAAGTGACCAAATTGATGAATTTCTATATCCGGGACTGTGTTCCATCACATTGCAACTATAGGTGTCGTAAGGGTACAGAGAATGCCGTCTATAGGATGGACTGATAATCGTCGCTCGATTCCACCAGTTATCGTCATCTCGCTCTACAAAATGATTGTATAAAGTGTACGCGCTGGCTTCCTCTACGTGAGAAGGCAAGTAAGCTTGTCTACCTCTATTTGTATCAGTGAAGGAGTTCGTCATCGTCTCAAGACGACCATTCATCGCGCCGAGAGTCAAGTATGCGTATTCGGTGGAAAGGAATACACCCCCAGCTCCTAGTCGGTAAACAAAGTCACCCAGATACATTTGCACACTTACTTATTGAGAGATTTTAGGTCATTGACAGAATTTTGTCCTTAGCTTTCCCAGCCATTCCCGGAAATAGTAAGAGAATCGTCGAAATGTACGTGAATATCCAAAACAATTCCCTCGCCATTGCTGTCGATATTGTGAATTAAGTTGAGCGCAACCGCCTTTGCGTTTCGATTGTTGAATTGTGTCGTGCGATCGACCTCAAACATGCTATTTCAACTTTCAACATATCTCATATCACTTGCTTTTGCGAGGCCTACTGTCAACAATTTCGAAGAAGTGTGCTGTACGCACTATAAGATCTAGACTTATGCGTAATATTGCATGCTCTTTTGACAGATTAGTACCGCGTTGATCAAGTAGTAGTTCTATGTCGTGTGCGGACTTCCACCAAATTCCAAACTTTGTGTTTCTTAGCACGGAGAACAATGTACTTCGTTGCACCTTTGTGTCGGACAACAAAAAATATTGCTTTCCAAAAGTCTTTGGTGAAGGCGATGGCGAAAATAAAGCCGTTGATGCTTCATACAGCTAGCGTTGTGGATTCGTCGAATGCTTGGACGGCTTCTGGTAGTCAACACTAACTAAAGTTCATTAAGGCTTTTATGACGCTGTTGATGGACCGAGAGAGGAAACACAAGGGTTTTAGAGAAGTATACATTATCCTGCATCCCAATGACTGGGTGCTGTTATGCCTAAATTACGGACAGCGCGACCATAAACGCCTGAGTGGACGTGTCACTTCAACTTGAGCTCGAGCTGTGTTTGAAACACTAGATCAATCCGCAGATATCACATGTGCCACAATGCGCAAAGCTTTCAGCACAACGGCAGAAGTGCGTGTTGCGACTATATTTCAGCGCCCACATTGTTACGCAATTGTATCGATGACGGAGTTCCTTCAAACCGATTGCGCTTAGACATCCGAAGTAGCAGAATGGCAACAGTTGGCAGCAGTGTCAGAAGAAGTCTAAGTTGATTATTTAAGCAACATGGTGCGCTACGTCACTGAGATGCTATACAGTGTTTGCGACCGGTTGTGAAACGCAACAATTATAAGTCATCATCACAATGAATCATTTCTTACTACAGCTAGCTCTCTCATCTATTTATTGTGCATATCTGATCATCCATTGCTTCGCCAGACTTTGTATTCATTGTCCAAGCAAACTCCATAAGCGTAATATAAGTTCCAACGACGATTGAATTTCGAGCCAGCTTGTTTCCAAGCAGACTTGTCGTCCCCACAAACTTTTAGCAATCACTTGAATCTAAGGATCAGCTTATCCAGCAGTGTTTTGATCGATGCCGTTATTGCCATCATGGGGCCGTTCATGTTTTCTAGAAACTTCGCAAATCTGGATTGAATTTTTTTCACAAAAGGATCGGTACCCTTCTTTATCCGATGCGGTGCCGTCGTGAGCACAAATTTCTTGGTGGTCGCCTTGAGTCGTGATATTCGTTTCGTTAATTTTGCCTTTGCTTTCGATAGCGCGGTCATCACTATCGTGTGTGTAATCGTTTCAGCAAGCTCCGAAAGCTTAGCAATGGGATTAGCGGTCCAGCCGACGGCGTTTTTTTTCTGGTGCGATGCTGAGTTGCCCAGATAATTATCGAACGTCAACCGGTACTTTGATGAGAGCTTTTTAAGCACCACTTTTGTCACCTTATATGCAACTTGGACGATCACGTCCGTGACTCTCTCTGCAAACCTCGTACGCTTAGCCTTTCCTGTCGAGCGGGTCGAAAAAAACTTCCTGCGCGGTGACAACTTGTTGAAGAAACGAATGGCGGTCGCCTCCAATATGGATGCCTGCTTTTTGAATTGCACTGTGATAATGAACATCGCAGCTGTTCGTATCAATTTATCCACCTGCTTATCAAGCTTTGTAATGATACCTACGACAGCCAGATGGGCAGCCAGCATGTTCCGAACCAAATCCGACTTGTTCGGAAGACCACCCATGACCGCTCTGTACTTCGATGCGATCGCCAGCTTGCATTGAATCGTAGCGACCGTCAGCACATCGATGACCGTCTGTACAAGCTCCATAAGTTTGATCTTGGTCATTTGAGAGGTTGGCGAGTTGCGCAACTGGTTCCAGCGCCGTGCTACCTCTATCAGAGACATATCAGTGGTTGCCTTAAGTCGTACAGCGAGATCAGTAGCTTGCGCTTTAGCTGTACTCGCAGCTGTAACCGCTACGCCCGCGGCCTTCCCCACCGAAAGACTTTGCCGCACCTTCGTAAATAGCAGCTTAACTTTGTCAGCGATGCCGAAGAATCTCTCCTCATTGCCCACTTGTACCGCGTTCGAGTCGTTGTGCTCACGAACGTCCTGCCAAAGTCTCTCCGTGTTGACTCCGTCGGCGTGGCCGTCCACCACGAGATCCACTGGAGCGACATCGGGCCCAAGAACAACCTTCGGATCGACAACAGGTGAGATTGCGTCACTACGAGCTAAAAGGTTAACTAGCGCAGCCACTGTGACGTACACCAGCCGCATGCTTCGTGTTGTTCCAGTCCAGAAGGCGAAACGCACTTGGTCGTGCTGATATTTTTATTCAAAATGAGGTACCAGGAGCCACCTAGGATGCTCCCCGACCAGGATCAGCCATCGTGTCGAGAGGTCCAATCCTAAGGGCCTCGCGGACCGGCTACGGCGACGTCGACGAAGACGGGACATGGCCGACTGATTTGGCAACTGGACGTTCTAACGAGATGGACGAGCTGCAGATACAAATACTTTCTACGTGCTCCAATTTCATTGGTGTTAGTGCTCCGAACACGCGCCAACATCAACACACCTCTTCGTTACAATCGGACCAAACAATGTGCAGGAGATCGCTCGGCTCGAGAAGCTTCCGGCGAACCCACGATAGCTGATCGTTTGACATGGGAACATCTATCTAAATTGCAGCGATCTTCGGGTCCCACTTCGCACCAGAACAATAGAAAAGCCGATAAACCTCCGTAAGGGGCTGTCGGACAAACCTGAGACTGGTCTCACGACATTTGTGCTCGGAAAAAAAATCCCTTCATATGTGCTGCTCAGACTGATGTGAAGGCGCTCTGAATCCCTTTCTCTGTCATTTGGCAAGCTCTGCGCGCTCCAATCCTATCTCGCGCCTGCTGCAGAGTCGTCGTAATACGGCCATCTCGCCACCTGCTAATTGACAATCTTTCAGCGCTTGATCCATCCGCTCCACTCAGCAGCTGGAATGCGCGAAAACGCCTCTCTGCCGACTCTGATGATGACTATCTGATCCAAAGTTCTTCTTCAACAACGATGCCTTGCGACGCTGTGCCTTCAGCTCGGGTATATGGCGGGCTGCAGATCCTATACAGGGCAACATGCGACTTCCGGATCACGCATTGCATGAAGCGGTCGGTGATGATCGAAAGTTTCGAGCCCGTTTCTCCGTGCTGGAACCGCACCCGTATTTGATTGTCGACTTTTTGTGTCGAGCTTCGATACCATGTCATTGTCCTCGCTATCAGAAAAGGCAGTTAAAGGAGCGATGGTGGCACCCTTGCAGGATTCGAGTCATGCAGCCTCGCAAGGCTCCATGCTACTAGTGATCGTTTTCTGCAGGATGTTTATGACCGTGTGCTTCGACGCTAAATGCCATCATGATAGCCCAGCAGACGCACGAGGACATGATATTAGTTCGAGGCGAGGACGACTAATCTGTCAATCATCCGCTAAGTCACTGCTGTGCGTCGTACATGAGATACATTGGTGCCACGATAAGCTGTTGCGTTCATGCGTAGATCCCGATGTAGGTTGGACGTCGTTGTGGCGCGAAGGCCAATGCGGCGTACGTCATCGAGCCCTTCACGGTCAAAGCGCATAGCGTATCACAGTCAGAAGATATAGCTGCTGTGAAGTGCTGCAAAACTATCTGAACTGATGTATAAGCACAGGCATACATGCAATTGGTCTGCGGATAGCAGATTAAACAACTTCTGCTGTACGCGCTACTTCGGATCCCACCCGCGTCAACTACCCTCCCTTTCTTATAATCGGCATGGACGGATCATTCCGACAGTCAGAACAGTTGTGAATACACCAGATTGACTCGGTGAGCGACGCCGGTGCTGGTCCAGACAAGCTAAGGCTTCGGGATGGTCATTATAAAACAATCGCCCGTCGACATAGCGCGAACGACCAGCATCACTAGTGTCGGTGTCACCAACCTTTCTATGCGGACAATCGAGGCAATATGCGTGGTTGAGTGAGGGTAAGGATATGATCTATGATGAGGTCAATTCGAATCGAAAACTATACGTTGCTGTTCGGTGCAAGGAATTTCCTGTCACGTCGTACAGCATATACGTAGTTCACCCATCAAGCTCTTAGTCCGAAAGGTACGTGCTGTAGGAGACATCAAAGATATTGAGCCCTCGATCCTGTCTTTGTATCGGAGCTTGCTGGGCTCGATAAGTGCTTGTTGATTCGGATGCAGCAATACGTAAGAGTGACGTTGATAACAAACAGATGACGTTTATTTGGATGCCGCCACCGCATATGGAGCTTCTGTGTTTTATACTACTCTTCTTCAATACACTAATACGAGCTCTTGCAGCCATATGTCTGTAAAACGCAAGCGCAAGCTCATCAGGCAGTTGCCAAAATAAAGCAGGTTACGTGCAGTGGCAAGGCGAAAGGGATGATGAACGTGGCACCCACTAACAGAAGCACTCAAATTCCGGGTGGCTCGTTAAACACAAGGGTGAACGTCCTCTGCAAATATGGTATGCTTGTTTGTCGTTTGGTGCTTCCGTACAAAAAAACGAAGAATGATCTTGTCGTCGTGTAGTTGAAGCAAATGCCTGTCATGAAATCGCACGGTTAGAACAGCCAGCTTTTTACGGGATAGCGTTGTCCGTAAAGCTACAAGCTGCGTTGTACTTGCATATCGTTGTACACAACTTAAGTTCCTAGCTTTAGGCATATAGCAGCAGCACGGATGTCAGAGCCTGATGCCAATCAAAACTGTTTCTATATGCTGCTTCCAAAGCAGGACCATGGTTGAGCTCGACAAGGCTGCACCCTGATGACTCTAGTCTCTGCCGGTCCAACCGTCGCTTTGCTTACAACACGATATGATTGTGTTTTCGAAGAGTAAGCGGACTGCAATAGTATCATGGTTGTTTCTACTGCTGCAGTGTGCATTCCATCACTCGATAGAACGCCGTCACGGCTGATGGCGTCCCTGATCCATGCGTTGATGCACCTTCGCACACGCGCTTTCGTCAATGTACGACGGTCTGGAGTACACATTCGGTACATCACACCCTTCTAGCTGCGCGACGTCAGCCATCTCCTCACTATTGCATGTGGACAGTACGGGGCTTCTTGGGTGAAGTACACCTACGCCATACCGCCCCAAAAAAGAATTTGGCATCGACAGTCGTTACGTGAGAGCCAATTAGTCTGTCGAGGACTGGCTCTCCATCAAGGCATTGGTCGCAGTCAAGCTAACATGGACCGGAGGGCTTCTCGCAAGTGGACGTGAATTCCACCACGGTGTCAGTGACCACCAGCAACTTGTCAACTCGCGACTCTTTTTGTGGTCATCATGCGACATGAAGTGTGTGATGAGCGCTGGACGGTCGTGGACTTGGACGATACTGCTTCAAAGGTAAGATTTGACATTTCAGTCGTCTGCAAGGTTCAGTTAACAGTCATATCTTGTTCGCACGTAGTCTATGCCTATATTGCGACTCCACGGGCTCTTGTGCTGCACTAACACGTTAGGCTTGTCATACAGTCGCTACGAAGTGGACACGCGGGTTCTCTCTGACTTTGCAACAGCATACTATGGGACACATACGAGTCATCCTGTATCGAATAGGACGCGTGGTATGTAGTTATGCTGGACATATTGCTACTTGCGTTGCAATGGGCAATATCAACATGCCCACTTTACACCCGACCGAGAACGTGGTGATCTATCGCGACGGAATCGACCAGTTCTTTGATGTCATATCGCACGCTGAGGGCGCTAGTGTCAACTGCATGCTGTCCGAGCTGACCCAATCTAGACGTGTTGCAACGCGGCATTTACAACTGACTGGTAAAATGTAGCGACCGTCGTGTGCAGATACATGATCTCTGGAGACACTAGAGAAGGCTCTAGGACACCCTATTGCGTCGTCAGTAAGTGAATGGACGAGTCAATATGACGTCCAACAGTGTCACGAATGATGACACTGTTGGACGACGGCACTGAAGTGCAAGAGCGGTGGTCCGACGATCGAGTGCTAATTGCGCCTGTATCCGAAGCAGCTGCTAGTACATATTGGAATGTACTGCTTTTCGGCGTCGCATCAGACAACCGGAAAGATTGCAACGAGTCGGTACCTGCGAGCTCAATTGATCGAAAGAGGTCATTGCTGTCCTGGTGACTGAAGCAACAACTCTCGAAAGTACAAACGACACCTGGTGGGGTCATTTCGATGTGAACGAGGCTGGTGTCTACGTAGAGAAGTATTCACTCAGCAGGTGACTGTCAACGTGTTCAGCAGCCTGTGCGCGAAATATTAAGGTCTTTGGACTGCACGAGCTGCTTATATAGACCACCTTTGCATTTTGCACGTAGTAGAGAGCCGCCCATCTCCTGTGCACCTGGCTTTGCCACTGCGTACACTGACGACCGTGAGCATGTGCTGGAACGTCATTCTGTCAAATCTGCACTTCTATTGATCGATGTCTTTAACGCTAACGCGGTTTACTTGAAGTTTCAGTGCACAGACACCAGCTCTTCGGGTCACGCTAGAGCTGTTGGCGTGTGAGTGCGACTACTTTGCGGTTGCTTCATGTTGATGCGATGTGGAGAGCATGCTGGCATTGACTGACAACGCTGATGAGACAGTGGAAGTTGGTGTCTTTTTGGCTGCAAAGCGTGCTTTGACGATATCTCGTCGTTGGCGCCAGGTGATATCCTTGATGCCGTGCTCAGTGAGCGACATGAGTGCCATACATTGACAACGGATACGCAGGCATCACGAACGTAGCTTTTGTGTGAGAAGTCTGTAAGATTGCTTCACTGCGTAGGTCTTATCTTTGGCAGCGTGGCAGATAAAGCACCTGGTGCTGTCTACGCGTGGAGCAATGGTTGTAGGCGACCGAAGTGTAACGCCCATGATCATCGACCATGTCATCATACTTGTGCTCTTCTGCTTCTCGGGCGAGCCCAACGAGACGTTTCTGGAGATGCGCGACACGCACCCTACACGCAGCGGTTGAAATGATACAATCGACAATTTGTAAATGTGAAAGAGTGCTTGGTTTGGTGAAGCGACCAGGAAGAGACGGCGGGTGGCTCGAGTCATTGAGATGCGAAATGCGCTAGCTCTCATCAGAGCAGTACAAGAAGTTCGTCGTAGTTAGTTCCATCCCCGCCTTACGCAAGCAGAAGTCCTCCATTGACTCGTACGATTCGCAATGAGCTCTGAATGTAATGAAGACAAGCCTTGACTAACGTTTGCATCGATCGCGTAGAATTGATCGATAGAGCTGATTGGGGATACCTGTATCACCGGGGTCAAGTCTTCATATTGCTGTGAAGCACACCTACATGCTGAAGAAGGACGGATAGTGTGCAGCTGCACCGACGCTTGTGTCGCGGCCAAGGCATTTGCATAGCGCATAGATGTTACACAGTAGCGCCTCCCCATGCAATTGAGGGAATGACTCAAGTTATTGAATAAACAATTTCCCATGCAATTGGGGGAATGAATTCAGTTATCGAATAAACAATTTCCCATGCAATTGAGGGAGAGGGTGCAAAAAATCTCTGGTCACCTTTGTCTCTGGCAGCTTATTCATTTCAAACCATCAAAACACGCAGAAATAGATGCGCATCATTGCACATCGGTATCTTTGGAAAGGCTTTAGGATTTTTTTTTCTGTGTAGGTCCAGCCGAAACATGTAGTTTTCTGACGGCCTGTTACCGCCCTCTTCGGCTAGGGACTACACATCCCTTACCGGTCGTGGCCATCGTGCCACGCGACGGGCGCTTGTCGAACAATGTTGGTGCCAAATAGTCCGGATAGCCCCAACTATTCGTTGTTGGGGTTCATGCTTCTTTGAGAAGCCTTACTCGCTGGTACCAGACTTCCCGGGTTAGTACCAAGTAGGCTTGCGTGTGTTACACGTTATTTCGAAGGATTTTGGATTGGTCGTTAAGAATTTAAACCGACACCAATTAGCTGAGTCTTTGGTATGTCGTCCTCCATTACGGTGTTACCTCAGTCAGATTGTCAAAGTTGGCGTTCTCCATCGTCATCTATTGCCGCTAAGTCATTAGCAAGTGGTCGTAGATGGGATGAGCAGCACAACCGCACAGAAGAAGATTATTTCACATTTTGGTTATTTTATACGTACAATCGCATGCGCATCAGACACTTTCGTCACTGACTCGGATCAAATTGCCAAGACGTACACCTACTTCATCCGCACATCAATGGGGTCACGCGCAATGGGGTGTGCATCACACACTGTCGTCACTGACACTATTTGACCTTCTAAGATACTAACGTTCTTAAACTGCACGCCAAGGGTGGACTATGTGCTGTGTGCGATACGAATATCAAGTCAAAGCTCGAGCGAGAGCTCTATAAGCAGCCCGGTAATCCTGCAGGAGTACACGGATCAGAGTAGGGTCATCATGTTCGACGTTGTTCTTGTTGGTAGTGATGAGCGATTCTACAAGAATGGTGCATTGATGATAAGTCCACCGCTTAAATCGTCTTCGTCTACGAACCTCTTTCTAAACTCGGTATTTGACGATGTGATTGAAGCGTTTTGGTGCTATTTAGGTCATGCTTGTCGGACGTAAGAAAGATATCTCGTTGACCAAGCACGCGATACTTGCAGACTATTGCAGTAGCCACAAATACGAACCTGCTAATGGTGGTTGTGATGTTGGTGTTGGATCTGATATCGCAGTGTGGATGCTGCGAAGATAGACGCACTATTGTCATATACAGTGGATCTGATGCACATAAGTGTAGCAGCTCAGTCCTCTCGGCCCACATCGACGATGAGACACAATGTCCTGATACTCCATGATGCTATACACTCCTAACAAAGTCGCTCTACCTGCAAGGACATTCAACTATGATGCTTGCATCGTAGGGTCCATGTTTGCTGTGGAAAAGACACCAGCGTGTCACCCTGCACTTTCGTATTGCAAACCTGTGTGAGTCGGCAGAGACGAAAGACTGATCCGACTTCTTCGAATTGCTAAAAATGCTCTTTGCTGGAGCACTTTCGCAAAGAGCCTCACGACCGAATGAACTTATGTTGGGAATAGCATCCAACTTTATCCATGTGATTTCCACGCATGCATGTGTACATCTGGTCGTGTAGTGCACATCACGAACGCATATCGTATTGTCAAGATGATTCAGTGCACCTTTTTACTTTCTCCATCTCGTGGTGCTTCAATTGGTTTTCGGTGATTTGGCTCCTTTTTATATTCGTGCTCCTCTGGTACATATTACATATCCCTGATAAACATTCAATATTAATCTTGCCACATGATTGGTCCATCGTCTTGAAGCTCGTCGCATGATACACCTGTGTAAGTATCATATCTAACCATAGACCAGCGATGTCGCGCTTGCAAGGTGCGCTGTTCAACTCGCGACAATGACCAGCGCCTCGAAAGTAACATGGCCATTTGTAGTCAAGAGTTCTGTGTTTGGAGGCAATGCGCACAAGTCCTTCCTCAACGATAGTCTCGACTCGATCGATTGACGTTTGAGGATCAGCGGCAGATACGGCTCCGAGAGTCTGAAACGCAAAGCAAATATGGTACTGCCAATCGAACACATTGTACGAATTCTTCGATAGTAGTTGCCGAAGCTGTTGTCACTCCTTGTTGACCGGTCACAACAAAGGTGCGCGCAACGCTCGTTTCTAAATCGAGCCGAAACCGCATGGGTCCATCGGTCGCGTTAGAACCGACCGTTTCTAAGACCATGAGTGCCAGTCAAATCAGATACTCAGCTGTGCCTGTCAACCTGTTCGATCCAATTGCAGGGCCCGACTGACCTCACAACTTAATTTTCTTTCTAAACTCATGGACCGACACAAGAAGAGCGAACGGCTGCACTCGACCGTGCGGCTGAACCAATTCACACTGCAGTTCGAAGACTCGAGACTGGAGAGAGCGTATCAGGCGCGACTGCATCCGCGCAAGAGAGCGCTATGGCTCCGCTCGCTGCTGCCCGCTGCGGCCTCTCAGATTCTGTTTGCGTTGGCCGATGGACTCGAGTCTCCCGTCGAGAATTTGCTGGTGACGGTCCCGACGAGAGTGCTGCTGGCGGTGGGTTGATAAGATATGACGTGTCATGTATAAAGTATGAGAGGTTATACACACGGACTGATTTGAGGGCTGTAGATGCTGCAAGTTGCCACGTGGCTGCTCGTGCGCTGGAACCTCGTGCGCGTGCGGGAGCAAACGATGCTCATGGTGTCCGTAGCCAGTGGGATCCCCACGTTGCTGCTCTATGCTCTGCAACGAGCTCGTCTTTGTCAATGGGTACCTCATATCTTATATATCGCACGGTCTAGAGCCTCAGTTTCTCTGACGCGTTTGCTGTTGGGTGGTGTGTCTGGTTCAGGACGCGCTGTTTGTGACGTTTGGACTGTCGTTCTACACGATTCCCAAAGTGACGCCGCTCGGCTATGTGTCTTCTTTTTACGGCAGCTGGGCCACGGCTGCAGTGTACACTGTGCTCAGTTTTGGGGTTCGCCCTCCACTCCAGCTGGCAGAAAGCGTGCTGGGCATTTTCTTCTTGGTGCCAATGGTCTGGGTCTTTAATACCATTGCTTACTACTCCGAGTACAATTCTCGCGAGCGCTTTGCTCTACATCGACGTTTGCGGCGTGAAAGCATCACCCTGGCGGTCGCATGTACGCCTGAGAACGGTGGAGCTGTACGACAAGGACCTGAGGATGACGGGTGGTTGCTGCTGCACGCGCTTTTCCTGCGTGGCAGGATCACTGCCAACACCAAGAATGGCACTGCGTCTTTTGTCGTTGCCGTGATACTCTGGGGAGCTTTTACGCTCGGTAGCTGGACGTCACTTCCAGACACATTGAAGTTTGTAGATGAAGCCACAGGCTGGGCTTGGTTTAGCCACTGTGCAGGTGTGACGGTGTTTCTTGTGGTGATGACGAGGCGGCTTCGATGGCTGTTGGTGATGCCAGTGTTCGGCTCGTTCCTGTTATGGGTAATGTCTCTCGCTATGCCTGCCTCGTGGATCATTTTTTCGGCTCACAGCGTGGGGTACGGTCTGCTGCTAGCTTCTGTGGTGATTGCCATGGGCGTGTTCGGCTGGTTCCTGTGTGCATGGAGAGAGCTTGTGTCGTTCCTGACACGATCATGCTTCCTGTATCCTCAGCTTCAAGCTGGTATGGAAAAAGAGTACCCGCTACTCGTCCGGATCGTGTCCGAGTATACAGCCGGTTTCGATCCTGAAGTACTGGATGGACGGGTTCCAACAGCGACAGCAATGGACTCTTTAGGTACACAGGTATCCGACACTTCAGCAGCTTCACCACCAAAAGTGGGACCCGAGAAAGTGTGTACAAAGGTTGTTGCTTCCGTAGCAATCAAGCAGCCAACTGAGAAAACGAAGAGCAATCGACTGCATCGAGAGGTAGAGAGACGAAACTTGTCGGCGAAAGACAAATGCCTTGCAGGGACCACCCTCATTCCGTCAGGTGTATCGCCAGCGAAAGAAGATGCGGTGGTGACAAATGATGCGTCTTCGGATCGAAAAATGGTATCCGTCTTGCCGTCTTTCAAGCCCGGAAAATGCTTCTTTTGCTCAAAAAATGATGCAGAACACTTTGTGCCTGCTTGTGGAATGTGGGGCAAGTGGACCCATTGGCGAATGAATCAGCAGCATCATTTGGACAACAGTCCGACAGCACCGAAGGGAGTTGTTTCGAAGGCCACAGTTGCTGTCTCAATGTGCACGTCCTACTGCGATCTTCAGAACGAAAAGTCTCAGCTCGAGGCTCATGTTCAACAAGAAGAGAATGAGAATGCTAAGCTGGCAAAGGAACTCACAGCGTGCAAAGAGCGCGAACAGAACCTGTCGCAGGAAAACGTAAAGCTCAGAGCAAAGCTGCATGCAAAGGAGGAAAAACATGCAGCAAGTTTACGACAATGGGAAGCGCGTCTCGAAGAAAAAATAGGAGCTGTGCAGAAGGAGACGAACTGGCTAGCTCACGAGCATAAAAGGCGGGCCAAAACCAGTGAAGCGGCACAGGTTGCTGCGTTGCGAAAGCAGCTTGCAGCCAGCGAGTTTCTCGTTCAAGAAGCCCATACCCGTATCCAAAGCGCCAATGAAGAAGCAGCGGCGCTGCGTACAAGTCTTACAAAATACGAGGAGGACGCTGTCGAATGGAGAAGCAAGGCTGAAGAGTACAAGAAGCAGCTTTTGGGCATGAAGCTTCGACTACACCACCAGCCTCTGGGCAGATTGCAACCGTGTGTTGCTTCCTCGGCGTCAGATTGCTCGTTTACGTCTACAGCAGTCGAAGAATCATTGGTGAATGCCGCACCTGAGGCAACGCTTCAGACCCTACAGCCCGTCGGACGTTTACCGTACGCACAATCGCTGGAGATCGAAGGTCTACGGGAGTCAAGCAGACACTCACACGACAACGTCAACTACGCACAGCGCTGGCGACTCCTCCAAGGTTATGATATCTGCAAAGGCACAGATAGTTATTCCGCGGCAGATGCACCGAACCGGTAGTGCTTGATGGAAGAGCATGCTGCTTGTCGAGGATACAACACCTAGCCGTCCAGTCCCAGTAAAAGTTCGCCACCGTGACCGAAGCAGCGAGCGTTTGAGTGCAGCCTTTTTTACGATTTTCGATCGAGGCCGGATAGAGCACGTACAGCGATATGCTTGCGGTAGCGATTGGATCAGAATACCTCGAAAAGGCAGCGGAGGCAATCCGCTTGCAACAGAGTGAACGTGTAGTTCGTCATAACTGACAATAACGCGAACGCCAGGCTGAACCGACTTGATGATGCAGCTCACCCGTCCATCACTGCTGGCTTTTGCCAGGTAGCACAATGCAAGCAACATGTGGTACAACTCGACCTTGTGACACGATCGGCTGCCAGGAAGCCCATCATTTGCACTCGCAGTCGCTGCTGCGTCCGAGTCCCCAAGTCGGCGCAAAATGGCGGGCTGCGAGCTGCTCATTTTGACATTTGCGGTCTCCTCGCGAGTGCAGCGACGCTCTGTGCGACAAGAATGGCTAGCAAGCGTTGACAACGCGCCACAGCATGTGCACAGAACGGTGGTGTCGGCAGTTGTCATGGGTGGATGCAACTGTGAACTCGGGAGCTGTGCTGCTGCTGGTGCTTTTGTCACATTCATACTTGTGAGCCAGCTGCTGCTCATGCGACGGGATGGCGCACGACTCAAAGAACAGGTGGTCCATGGGCGAGGTCAAAACAAGCGGGTTGTCCTCACGATATATTCGACAAGCAGGGGGCGGTACACTGCACGAATGGCGGCATTTTGACAAGTCGCGCGGCAGAACAAGCGCCGTTCGATTACTGTGCCTCGAGTCGCCTTTGACGCAGTCCATCCGACAATACAGGAACAGCAGTGTGCTCTTGAGAATCTTGCCGTTCAGGCCCATGAAAGCATCTAGCGAGCGCACGTCAGTTGCATCAACCCATAAACGAAGTCGTGAGGATTAGCGATACGCTACCACATCGCTGCCTTGCTTTCTCGTGCGGTTCTGTCGTTCTCGTGACCGGCAGTGGCCAATGCCGTCTTGACATGAAGTGATCTGCAAGTGTGTGGGAAGTACCATTTTCTCTCGCGTCCGAAGCTCTGCAAGTCGTACATGGACGTGGCATCAGCTTAGCAAGACAGGTGGATGTCTGGAAAGAGTAGACGACAATGGACAATGACGACGTATGCAGAAAACGCAAATGGGAACAGATCAGTCGTCAACGAGTTTCGTAGTAGCCCATGTTCGGCGGTGGTTTATTCGGGGTTGTTGGCGGGAATCACACCACCATGGAAGCTGTAATATCGGTCGTATTTATCTCAGTCTGCGGCTTCTGCGTCTCCATCGCCAGCGAACTTCCAACCGTTTCAGCCACGTCCAGTTGGTGCGTGTTGACTCGCACATACGCTAGTTTATCGCGAGAGGGAAAGTCTGACTGTTGCCAAAGAGACCGCAGGGCCACATTTGCTTCAGAAAATACACGTGATGAACTGACCGTGCACACTGGCATGACAAAGACACGGCAGGCAATGGTCTGTAACACTGGCCACCTGGTACCGTCGGTGAGCCAGAATTGCAACGGAAGTAATCTGCGCTCTTTCGATAAGCGGAAACCAAGTGTCTCTGCTTTGCTGCTGGTCTTCAGACTCATGGCAAACTTCCTGAAGTCCATATACTGAGCACGCAATACTTGTTTCTCCACATCAGATAGAGAAGTGCCATCGGCACGAAGCGAAGATACCAGCTTGTGCTCCATATCCGCTTTCGTGTTCACCGGCAAGTTCCCGCCCAGCAACACCGGGTCTAACAGGGGTGCCAGGTGATGTGCCGGACCCATAATGTTCTCCTGTCGTTGTCGCACGAGTGCTTGCAAAACTCCCTTCTCTTCCGGCAAGAGTCGCGTACTCGATGCATACTGTTGCTCAAGCCTCGAGAAACAGGAACGCACCTCAGAAAGGAGCAACGACGTCGCATTGGCACCGCCATCCAACGATTGTAGTAGTTTGTGGACAGGACGCAACACGTCCAAGAATTTGCGCAGCGTTTGCACAAATTGTGAACTGCGCACAACTCCGATCAGCTCAGTCTGTAGACGACCGACAGTGGCCTGATCATGGGCAAAGCTCAACGCACCTGAATCGTGTCCATTCGAGCCAGCACGCAAGTGCGCATGCAACCCAGTGTCGTTATCCAAGAAGGCTTCAGCCTGTAGAATGGCAAAAAAGGCTTCTTCAACAGTCAAGCGCCGTGTCAGAGACACATGGATGACGGTCTTGCAGCTTTCCGCGGCCATGTCAAGCGTGAGTTCATCGCTTGACGGTGGCAGAAAGAATGTCAGGTCTTTGCACTGTAGGGCAAAGCGTTGCATCTCCTGAACAAACGGCATCGATACGCTGTCGCACTGGTTCGCGCTTGTACCTCTGGCCGTGAAAATGTCGCAAACGAGAGACCACAATGCGTCCCGCATGCATCCATAAAAGTACATACCCGGGTACTTCTTTTCCAGCAACCCACGCACTTGTTGGCTCTCTGGCGACGAACAGGCCATGACACATCCAGCAACAGCGTGCGACAGCTTGTCCACCACGCGGGCCACATCCGTTGCCCTCCAGTCCGCGTCAATTCGCTCTTGTTCACTGTTTCGAGCAACGACCGATTCCAAGTACATTGGATACTTTTCGAAACTGGCCGAGCTCGTCATGTAATGCACCACCCGAGCAGTCGTCCCGTCTGACGTTGTTGTGGTTGTTGTGGTTGTGGTTGTTGTGGTTGTCACATCCAGCAACAACGTCGCAGGGAGCAACTCGGCCTGAAAAAAAGCTTCGACCCGTTGGTTCACCTGTTCGACACAGCGGTCGAGTAACTCCGTCATGAGCTTCTCGGGATCTGGAAACCCAATTTCCTGACCGCATGTTTGCAGTGCGGCCGTCAAGTAGGAAAGATTGGCCCGTCTGTCCACAATCTGTTCCATTGACATTGTCGTGAACAAATGCATAGCCACTTTTTCTTCCAGTGCTCTGCTCTCACGTCCAAGTGGCCGTCGTCCGGATAAATGGTCCCGAGTTTCCATCGTCAGTGGCGGCAGGAGTGTCAACGCTGATACGGGCGACGCCGCATAGGTGCAATCCTGTGATACCTGATAAGTCGGAAACCCCGAGTTCACAAATGTCGGCTTTTTCGGCTGACTCAGCCCCACGTGGTGCCGGCGACTCGTTTCGGCCAGAAACCACTCGGGCTTCTCATTGGCTGGAATTGTGTCCATGAGCTGCAGGAATTGGGGACATTTCATCAAATGGGTCCGCGCTTGGCCCCATTTATGGCGATGGTGCACCAACTCGTTGCAGTGGCGGCAGACGGCCGACGACAGTTTCTGCGGCTCAACTACAGTCGTAAAGAACGCCCACGAGCGACTGGGCGGGCGGCCGCGAGGACGTCGAGGCGCGTCCAGTGGGGCGCGGGCGTCTGCGCTCATGCTGGACAAGTTGGTTGGCTATGATTGGCTGGCGCGGGTGGGTGGGTGGGTGGGTCTTTTTCCACGACGAGCAGATTTGTGTGCACGACGGGTGGCGGTCGGCGGTCGTACAAATAAGGGCGTGTCCGAACGCGTGCTGGTTCGAAATGGTGTGTGCAAACAGTCTACAAGTTCACCAAACGGTACCAATCGCGACGGTTAAATCGTCGGGCCGACGAGCAGTTAAAGCAGTACATTGAACGTAAACGCATGGCCAGGCCGAACGATGTGAAGTGTTGACGTCGAAACGAGTCCTGTAAGGGGGTGAGCCCATGATGTGCATTTCGCGTATGTTGTAGGTATAGCTCCTTCGTGGCAATTCATCTTTGGCCGTTCCGCAGCGAACGCACTTTTGAGGCTGAGTGCCACTCGCAGGAAACGTCGCTGCTTGACAGACCGCACCAAAGCGTTTTCGACAGCATACGTGGGACCCGAATTGGTCCATTAGTCTCAGAGCAGAGCGCTTATGGACCTGAATTGCTATGTGTGGTGTTCAAAGCGTTTTCGACACGTACTCACGACTCGATCCCGTACAGCAGACAGTCGACCAAACGATTCGTCGCTCGTCCGCTTCGATACAGCAAACGAAGGCGACATCGCAACAACTCCGTCCGCGGTGCTCTTCCACTCGGCCGTTGCAATCGGATCTCTCGCTGCTAAAGCTGCGACGGATTTGGTACTCGAAAGCTTTGGGGGTTCCCCCACGCACCTGACCCGACCAGCAAATCGCAACGACGGGTTACATAGTATTGCAAATCGCTGCTGGCCAACCAATCGGTTACCCAACGAGTGCCTTTGCAGGCAGTGCGACCATCGAGCGCGATGGATACAAAGCTGAACGCCAAGCAGCGCCGCCGACTCCTGCGCGAGCAGCAACGACAGCAGGAAGAGAAGGGACATGGCCGGAGTCTAGAAGAAGGCACAAAACAGTCGATTGCCGGGTCTGCCGAAGACGCGGCGGACAAAGTGGCTCCAGCAACGCCGAGCGATGACAAACACGAGCGGCGTGTGGCAATAGAAAAGCGCAAGCGACTGGACGAGGCGAAACCATTGCAGAAGAAGCGACAGAAAGCGACGACGACGACGATGACGACGAAGAAGAAGGAGGAGGAGGAGGAGGGGGCAGTGCAAGCGCATGGACGAGACGAGGAGAAGGGTGCTCCAAAGAGTATCCACTTGACGCTGTTTGTAGGGCAGTTGCCGTTTCGGGCGACAGAAGGCATGATCCGGAAACACTTTGCCGAAGCAGGTGACATTAAGCTGCGCATGTTGACGGACGAGAAGACCAAGAAGTTCAGGGGCCTGGCGTTCATTGAGGTGAAGGACAGCAAAGCATTAGGGGCAGCGCTCTCGCGTCATCACACGTTGCTGCAGGGACGTCGAATCAATGTCGAGTTGACGGCCAGCGGTGGTGGCAACAAGTCTGAGAACCGACGGAGCAAGATTGACGAATTGAGGAAGAAGCAGAGCAGTGTTCAGGTGGAAAAGACCAAGGCGTTGATCCAGAAACACATTGATGGGCCACAGTACAACCTCCAGCAGGAAGACGTGGATGATCGCATGATCGACTTCTTGTCATGGTTTGACTACGAAACGGCAAAGAACGCACTGGAAGAGTACAACCGATGTGTGAGTGACCGCGTCAACAACCGCAAGGCATTCTTTATGGGGATCCTGAAGCGGTTTCGACAGACAGACGGCGTGGAGTAGACCGGCGTTCGATGCTGTCGAAACGCTTGCTGCATCCGAAGCTATCACTGCAACTACACGTTATTCTTTAGCCCACCGATGCTCTGGCCTCACATATTGATCTTCGTTACTTACGTTGGCTCACTAACCATTTCGAAGCGTACGTTTGATCAATGTCCAGACCGCCACATTGCTATCGAGCGATGTCTTTCCCCATCCGTTGTCTCGAAGACGCAAGAAAGGGCCTGAGACGTTCTCACGCGACTGACTCTTGCAAGATGGAATCTGCCGACCGCATCACTAGTGGTCAAGCAGATTGAGCGCTATTCTGTCCACCACAAAATGACTGCGGAGTATAGAAGATGTTGCTTCGTTTGAACCGACACCTGACCAAGACTCGGGTCACATCTCTCCTCGATCCTATTGTATCGCATCGCACGATAGGGTGCTGCTTGTTTGAGAGAGCAGTAACACATAGGAATGCGCTGGAACGAGCAAGTGACTCGTGTGTCGGTTCACCAAGTGAACACAATCTCAATGAATCAACGCGAACCAAATGTCGTGCGTATATTGCCTATGCCGCCTTTGACTCAATGCGCTGCTGTCTTCTTCGCACGGTAAGCAGCGTCCTTGCCCTCGGCCCGATACTTGGCCTTCTTTTCGGCTTTGTGCACGCTCTCAAACTGCATCTCTTCGCGCTGCTTCCGCTTCAGGCCCTCAGCATTTCGTTGACTCTGTCGTTCCTTGCGTGTAGCTTCTCGATCACGTCTTACAGTATTCACGCGCAGCAAGAAACCATACTTCTTCTTCTCCTCGGGCTCGAGCACCACTGCTCGACTTGCTAGATATCCCTTCTTGGCCCCCTTCTTCTTGTCTTCTTTGGGCTTGCTGGCAAATGGCAAATCGGCCTGCAGCTTCTTGGGTACCCTCAGTGCCGCAAATTTGCGCCCCGTGCGCACGATAGGTTTGTACAGAGAATCCGGGTTGACAGGAACGGCCAGCTTTTGTTCCTTGCGCAGCTCGTACGTGGTCTTCATAAGTCCCAATGTACTTTTGCTTGAGCCCCTGACGTTTGTGAGCAGCGACGTCACCGGATTGTACAACTGCTTGGGCTCCACAGGTACCCAAGTGCGACAAAACACGAGGTCACTCTTCAGAATCTTGTCCTCAAAGGTAGCTCGGAAGTCACCCTTCTCGCCGCGAAGTGCCTTTTTAATGCGCCCTCGCACACCACTCACTGTGCGAACGCTAGCACCCTCAAACTTGGCGACTTCCAAGTCCGTGTTGAACATGCCCTTGATGAAGGCAGTGTTCTTGTGAATCTTGCTCGGCGTACCAATCAACTTGAGCTTCTTCACGACATCAAACTTGTGGTCCAGCTCCAATACCACGCCAGTGCCACTGACACGAAACCCGTCCACGTTGTTTGCCAGTGTCTGAAAAGCCAGCACACCCGTGTTGGGAGGACACATTGGGCCGAAAATCGTGGCGTGGCAATGCATGTGCTCCGGTGTGTACTTCAGATAACGATGACGCTCGTTCGTGTCTTCGATAGAGTACAGAGGCAAACTCTGGAATCGTCGCCAGCCGATAGAAAAGACGAGCGGGTCGTTGGTTTTCAGTATCTTCCTGTGCCAACGGTGCTTCTTGAAGCGCATCCGCACGAGCCCAAGTACGTCTTCCATGTTCGGCAATCCGCCCACAACGATCGGGTTCGTCGGATCATAGTGTCGAGCAAATTCAGCGGGCACGCCTGAAAACTCGATTCGAACGTAAAGTCCGTTACGAAAGCCCTCTAGCTGCAAGCGCATGTCCTCGCCTTCTTCACCAAACTCCTCGGCATTACGCTTTGCCTGCTCTTCGCGAAGACGCTTTGCTTCGACCATGACCTCGGTCACTTCTTCATCTTCGTCATTCTTGTTTATCGTGCGGCCACCTACTTCGACGTAGTCGTCATTGTCCACGATAGTCTGCTTCGCTGCTTTCTGCGCACGAAGACGTTCGCGAATGCTTTCATCGGTCTCTTCCTCATTCACATCGCCCTCGCCACCTATGTTGCTGTCGCTGCCATCGTTTCGTTCACTACCGGCACCCGTGTGGACCGTTCCGCTCTCCAAATCTTCAAACGAGCCATCCATATCGTCATCGTTCAAGGGATCAGCATCAACATCGTCGACATCCTCCTCGTCGTCGTCGCTGCTGCTCTTTTTGCTCACACGTTTCCACGATCCAGTCACGAATCGGTCACGAATGCTCTCGAGGATATCAGCGTTAGTCCAGTCACGCGCATCTCCAGAAGAGTCCGAGTGCAAGCGTGAGCAATCCATTGCGTTGATAGCGTTGTATCGTTCGGACGATGATGACGACAATCCCAACGCATCCGACTTGCGCTTTAGACGAAAGAAGTTGTTGTCGTCATCGTCGCTGTCACCCTCTGTAGCATGCTTGCTCGTCTTGGCTTCTCCCTCGTTTTCCAATTCGCGCTCAGTGATGTGCAACTTCTGGCGCTCACCGTACACGAGCTCCATCAGGTTCACATCAGCCTGCTCACGCTCAAAGAAGTTGGCAGCGGCACGAGACACCATGTCCTCCTTCCACCGCAGCTTCGACTGCTCTTCGGTGACCACTTGCTCTCCTTCTTCTTCTTCTTCTTCCTCCTCCTCCTCGACATCTTCGTCGTCGCTGTCGTCATCTGAGTCGGAAACCACACCCCCCTTCACTACATTACTTGACTCTTCGCTTTCGTCGAAGACTGCTCGTCGACGCATCCGGCCAGAGCTGTCACGAGCAAGAACCTCTTTCGGGTTGCCAACAGTTGGCTGTCCATCTTCATTGTCATCGTCACCGTCTTCACTATCTTCGCTATCGTCATCGCCATCGTCGCTACTCCGTTCCTCTTCGTCCTCCTCGCTGTCCACTTCGTCCGCACGAATTGCAGCAGTGCCTTTGAAAAGCGACAAACTGGCACCCCGCAGCCTCTCATCGAGACCAACGTTCATCTTCTGCATCGTCTGAACCATTTCCACGCCTTCACCACCCAGTCCAATGCGTATGCCGTTCTTAGTCGTGCCATCTACGTCGTCTACATCTCGCTCGTCGGCCACGACATCACCAGTATCCGGGTTCGTGTAGTTTAGCTGGCTCAAATTAATGTACATGGCATCCTTATCGAACATAATGCTGCCAACATCCGACATTGGCGCGTACAACAGCGTGTCCTTTTGCGTCAAGTGTTTCTTCTTCACGGTCCCGTCTGCGCTCTTCTTACTTGATGGCATCGTGCATGGGTCAGGCATTGCAGTCACGCTATCCATATAGAAATCCCCCGCACCTGCAATGTGCATCTTCATACCAGGTTTCAAGTGCGTTCCTCGCAAATAGCCATACAACGTCACCCGTCGATCCGTCAGTGGATTGCGCTGGATATCGTCCGGTGGTGTAACGTCCTCGAACCGGTCGGCGAGCATGTACGGATGCGAATTGCGCCACGTGAGCGGTCGAAACTTCATCCTCGAAATATACAGCGACAAATTGTTGATCTCGCCTTTCGGGTACTTGGCGGCAGCAATCCCCGAAAAGTAAAACAACTTGGCTCCTTGGTAGATTTCCGTCCAGAATCGCGCTTTCAGTCGCTTCTTCGTCTTGCGCAGACTCTTGTTCTTTTTGAACCCATCCAAGTGCGTCAAGATGCCCATCACTTTGGGAAAGCCCGACACTTGGAGGATGTTGAGGAACTCGAATGTCTCCATCTCAAAGCCAAAGCTCGCGTCCACGAGCAGCAGCACGAGGTCTGCAATCTTGGCCAAGTCAATCATTGCGTTCAAATCATTCGGACACTCGAAAAAAGTGATCCGACGGTCTTTGCCGCTTACAACCGTCACCGGACCTTTCACGTCCACGAGATTGTGGCGTGTGTACCGCTTGACTAGCGAACGGATGACAGTGCTCTTGCCACTGCCAGGTGGACCCATGACCACCACTGAGATCGGCGGTGGCAGCTCTTCGCCACGATCCTGTTGCGGGACATACTCTTTCCGATGGGCACGGTCCAAGTTGCGCTGAATGGTCTTGCGCGCCCGCCCAGCCTTCGCGACGCCAAAAGCCTTGGGGTTCTTGCGTTGCTCAGCGAGGGACGGCTGCGCCTTCTTCTGCTTCTCGAACGCTTTGCGCTTCTGTTTGTTCACCTTCGCGCCGGCCTTGGGCTTGCGATGGCCTTTGGCGGCCCCGAGTGTGTCCATCGTGGCCCCTACCCGAGCAAATGAGACACTGACGCGCTACGCAGGACAGGTGCACGATTTGGTTGGCTGCGACGACGTGGTGTGGTACACGCGAAGGGACAGACGGGACATGTCGTGTCGAAGTTGCGTGACGCACGAGCGCGACAGGGGACGGCGTGGACCGGCCAAGTGGCTACAGGTTTCGCGTGTCGCAGGGGCCGCGTACAGAGAGAGTGCAGTCAGTACCCCTCGGTCGCGACCTAAAGACGCTCGTGGACATCGATCGGAGCGAGTAGAAGGGGCGACACACACAGTGGGACACTGGCAGAGGGCTGAGGGCTGAGGAGCTACGCGCTGACGAGGAGGAGGAGGACCATGAGAAATAGGGACACTCGAGGAGCTCCTGAACCGATAAGTAGCAGTAGTTCCTTCAGTGAGGCAACAACGGATGCAGCCGAACGAACTGCTGCGGCTCACAACCGCTTTACAACTGCTGCTCGGTAGCAATGTGCTATTCGAGTACGGTCAGCTGGTTTTCTCGATGCTCTCCTTGCGCTCTGGCTTAGGCGCGGCTTCCTTTGCCACTCACTGCACGCTCGTGCGAGGTTGCAGACGATAAGCTCAACGCCGTTCGCACGGGATGTAGCGACACGCACGTGGGGTTCCTTGGGTCGTGAAGGTCGGATGCAGTCGCACGAAAGGAATCGCCACGGCCAAAGCGACGACGGGCTGGAAGGATGGATGGATGACTCGAGCGACAAGACAACGACACTAGTAACAACCAGGTGTCGGTTTGTTCGAGCGCGCACTTTGGCTACGAAGCGCTCGCGTGAAAGCCGACAGAAGCAATTGTTGATGTGGAGACGAGCGTGAAGAGGGCGGCAGATCCGATGCACGCACCGGCTGTCGTTGTGGCTGTGGTCCTCTGGCTTTTGCACGAGGAAGACGGAGGACAAGCACTCGGTAGTAGAGCAGTGGGGGCTGACTAGTGGTGCTGGATGTAGCCGCTGGCTGACTGCTGCGGCAAACGAGAACTCAGCGCACGTGGCTACGAACGTCTTGTTCCATGTTCCGTCCATCGATGCACAAGTCGCCCGTAACGTGATCATGAGTCGCCTGATAGGGTCAGCCGTCAACAACATCACGTGAGACTGTAGGGCTCGCGCAGGGCTTCACGCAACGAAACAGTGCACTTAGCTCTTCATCGACAGCGCAAAGACTCGCAGTAGCTGAAGTGGCAGTTGTCGCTGTGCGAACAGCCGACATCTGGTCCGAGTCTGGACGAATGCTGCGAGTCCTTGCGAAAAGTAGACACGAGCCATGAAGAAACGACAAGTGGGCGCTTGGCCTGCACTGCAATCATCCGGCTCTGGTTGTTGACGTCCTCGGACAACTCTGCAAGTTGGGCTTCCAGTCACTTTGGAATTCTGCTGCTCGTCCTTCGGTTGCCACGGACGCCACGCAACGATGCGGCTTTACTCCCCTCTCGCACTCGTGTCTTCGACTGCGGGCGGTCCTGACTCGCAACGCAGACTCCTCGAGCATACTGGATCCCCGATGACGGAAGCCAACTTCCCGGTCAGTGTTCGTTCCTCTGAAGGTCACCACAATGGCGCTCTCGTCAAGCGGCTGTTGAGAGTACACGAACCCCCACGACGTCTGGCGAAGAGAGGGCGCGACCCCCGGAGCAAGGACTGATCTACGAATCAGTACGGGAAAACATTGCTGCACGGGGGACCATACGATACCTTCTTGGAAAAAGCCGCCAAATTCACCGGTAGCCACGCGGGGCCTCTGGACGCGGACACGATCAAGCGCTATCTCTACACACGACGCAGTGAACCCGGTGGTTGGGCCCCACACCCGAACAAACGCCTGCGTTTGTTACAGCAGCTTTCGTCGATGCGAGCAAGACGCCGGCTGGGAGAAACGCGATGATGAAATCGATTCAAGAATCCGTGCGGGCTCATCAGCAGGAACAGGTCGTGGAAACGGAGGCACAGCGAGCGGAGTGGGTACGAGTCAAACGGGATCCTCACGATGTCTTCACGGAGTTGTGCATTGCAGAAGCTAAGCATGACGTGGGTTCGAACAGACCTTTTGCATCCCCAAACCTCGGGGTGCTAACGACGTATATCAAGCAGTTCAGCGACCAAGAAGGAACAACGACTGCGTTGCTCGATACTTTCATCGCAGGCTTCGATGGCGAGGACAAACTCGTACGTCTGCTTTCGAGGGAGAAGCTCAGCCCGATCAATCGGCCTCAAGCGCAGGACAAGCAATGGGAACTGATGCGGAGGTGGGCGAACGGTCAAAAGACGCCCAATGACGTTGCTAAGATGCTGGGGCTGTCACTGGAGAAAGAGAATGTCTTGACGCACGGGAAACTGGACCTGATCGCCACACACATCTACATCTTCGGCGAAGTACGTCCTGGTGAACTACCAGATACCTCCACGTATCTGAAAGCGAGGTCTCGCAGCCTTGACCGTGAACAACTGACTGAATATGTGAAGATGACGGTGAACGCATCCCACCAAAAACTTTTGGCAAAGAAGCCGATGCCAGACTTGGATGGAACAAGATATGATGTCCGAACGTCTCCGTCACGCGATCGCAGCCAGCGCAAGTCCGAATGCAGACGTCGGCCGTTTGGCTGTTGCACAACTTGAAATGTTTCATGCTGCGAATCAGACTGCTGCTCAGCGCCCACCGATTCTTCATACCTTTTTTCCTGATCAGCTACCCACAGGCGACCGACACCACCAATACATGGCACCTATCGATGAGCCCACCTCACCCGCAAATGCAGACTGCTTGTTTTCATCCAGGACAGTTTAGTCGGGAGGGAGAGATCACTTTGTCTTGCAAAACGTTTTGATGTGGTAGTACGGAGACGCGAGTTGGGGCAGGAGCTGACTGAGCCACTTGTCTCTCTTGCCCTGTCAGCAGCACTTACGTGACAAGCACGTCCGTCTCATGCAACTCGCAATCGCAGGGACGCAAAGTGCAAACTCCTCGCTGCGTCACTCGTCAACTTTGCCACCGAAAAGTAGGTACGAAACAGGCGTCGAAGACTGCAACGGACATAGCTGCCTTTCCAAAGGACTCACCCACCACATCCACGAGTACGTGCGCTTATGGCACATTCGGTCTGACAGCTGACGGTTCAACGATTCGCCCGGTCGACACTTCTCTTACTGCGCTGGTCGAAGCAGAAACCGAAACGCAGTATCGTGCGAAGCACAAATGGCAGGTAGTTTAAGTCTACGTGCAGTCGCGTTGTGCTCTTTGCATCAGTCTTGGGCCATCTCGTCAATCCGGACGCGGTCTTTGATCACCCGTGAGAACTACACGCCCTGCGCCCACTAGGCCGGCGCTGATCGAGTGCAGCCTTACTATCGAAATTTCTGCTCCAACGACGCTCATCTAGGGGAACAGCTTGCATCTGGTAGACGCATTTCAGCGAAGCGAAGCAGTGGTGTTTGCTGTGGCCATCTTGATGACCTCAGTTCGAGACGGAGCAATTTCATCGCCAAGTGCTCCGTCTCGACTGCTAAGCAACGCAAGTGGAGGTGCACGAGACATTCATCGACACTCATGTCGTTGCATTCGGACCATTGGAGCTGTCCATTCGAGTAGCGCAGTGACCATTTACGAAGTGGCGCAACGGTCTGTGCACTGGCCACCAGCGCTTCCACCCACACAGCTACACCGGTGCTTTTGGTACGCGATAGATGATACATGTGGTGTATTTGTCTGGAGTAGCGGCCAATATGCATCCAGTCATGCCCGGGCATGTGGTGATGAATGCTCCTCAAGCTTTCTCTCGCGCCTGATGCTGCGACATATTTGGCGTTGACGGATGAGCAACTCGGGACACCCGCACCAGACAGATAGCAGTGCAGACCTAAAAGTCCGATCTTCGATGCTTCGACATCTCCATCGCGAGTCAAAACAGTTCTTTCTCTTTTGCTAAACGAAGCAAAGGCACTGCTCCTGTACATGCGAACGGCTGGAATGACCCAGCTTCTCGATCAGCATCACTCTCACTTCTGACTACTTTCGACTTGTGTGACTTTTGTCCGCGTCTCAGTTGCTTCGTGCGTCTTCGTCGCGGTCGGTCCAGTGCACAAACAGTTTCGGCCGCACCAAGCTTGGATGGCACACGCTTCCGCGGATGTCTCTGACGTTGCGCTGCTATAACTTCTCCAGCATCGTCCTCGCTTGCGTCACTGTCCGAGTCAGCGCCGTAACCGTCTGCTTCGTCGCTCGGAGATGTCTCGCTATCCTTCGCTCTATCACAACCTCGACCAATGTTGTCAGCTTCTCGGTCGCAAACAAGTGACGCTTCATCCAGATTTGCAACATCGCCACCGTTTGCTGGACAATCCTCTATCAGTCCGACCACGCTATCTTCGTCCGACACATCAAGACCAGCTCGCTTCTCGCGTAGTGAGGACACATGAGTACGACCTGCCTCTGAATCTCGAGCACTTTCTTCTTGCAATGCCACTCGAGACCTTAACGGAAGTCGTCCAAAGTCCTTTTTCCACAGACGCAGTATCTGAATATGGTGATCAAAGAGCATCTGGAAATGCTCTTCTGTTGTGGTCTGCTGGCTGAAATCACGCGGCAGGCGGCTAAACACCATAGCAATCACCATGTCCAGCACATTCGTGCCCGCAGTGACGCCACTTTCTCCACCAGGATTGGCAAACGCACTAAAACACTCGTCTTCGTCCAGCTCGGGGTCTTTCAGGAAAACCTCCAGCAACGTCAACAACCGATTTTCGACATCCTCGAGCTGCCGCAGTATCCACAAATACTGTTGTCCCTGAGGCAGCTTATGGTTCGCTCGACTTGCTGCTCTGGTTTTCTCCAACTTGGCCCGAAACGAATCGCGCAAGCGAGTGAGCTAAGCACAGACACGAGGCAGGACGAAAGTCGCACATCAGTCCCTCACACGTCACGCAGCCAGCAGCGGCACCGCTGCAAACGAGCAGCACGAGTCAGCCGACGAACCTCATCGATCTCGTCGCTCTGCTCTTGCCACGTCCTTTCGTACTGCGCAAACTCCGTCTCGGCCAGCAGCTCCAACTCGACCAGCACGTCGCTCTTCCACTGGAGATCGCGCGAGCACCGACAGAGACACGTGCGCAAGTACTCGACGCTTTTCCATCGCGACGGACTCGACAGCGTGTGCAAAAACGCGTGCAACGGCACGCCGTCAATGTCCGTCGGGTAGTCCAGCAAGGCGAACACGTCGGTCGGGAACGCCGCGTGGAGACCGTCCAGCAGTGGACGCGACGTGCCGTAGGTGCAGTGGAAAGCCCATTCTGGCACCCCAACAAGACCGCATGGACACGCAGAGAGACCACAAAGGGGTGAGACACACACACCCAGACGAGGGACAAACAGATGGGAATGAGACAACGACAACAACAACAACAACAACAACAGAGAAGAAGAAGAAGAAGAAGAGAGTTCGTCGATCCGCAGACAGACAGACAGACAGACAGATAGACAGAGCCCACGCAACGTACGGCGGTCAAAGAGCAGTTCCACAAAGTGGGTACACTGCTCGTGCAGCGTGCGGCGGACGCGCCGACACACGGCCAAAACGTCCCACTCGGCCTCCTCGAGCGTCGTCGCGGCCGCGCACTGTCGCTGCACGCGCGTGAGGTTCACGACGAGTCGCGGAAAGTCCTCCGGCAGGTCACACGGCGGCGGCGGCAGCGGCGGCCACTCGTCCGCTCGTTCGCTGCGCGCCGCACGCACTGCGACTGCCGCGTCGCGCGCCGCCCAATTGCGCTCTTCCCACGACGCGTCACAGTCGCTGTCGCCTGTGGCAGTGGCAGTGGCGGCGACCGGTCGCGCGCGTCCGGAAGCGGTCGAACGCGTCTCGAGGCGCCGCAGTGCGCGCGGCAGTGGGACGCGCAGTGTCAGTGAGGCGTCCGCGACGACGCGCACGGCCCGTCTGCCAGTGGTGTCGGCGGGCGCGGGAGGGGGCGACAGGACGTCCATCGCGGGCGGAGGACGTCGCGCAGCGGTTTGGTCGGCGGGTGGCGGCGGTCGTGGGACCCACTGGCGGGCCGAGCGGTGGGTTTTATCGACAGAGGCCGTGTGGAAGTGGTGTGGTGTGTGGTGTGGTGTGGGTGATTGGGTGCGTGGGACGCGGTGCGCTGGTTCGCGGGTGGGGGAGACGCTGTTTTGTTTTTCGGCTGCTATTGCTATTGCGGCTATTGCTGTTGAACCGATTGGCGGAGGAGGTCCGAGTGCCATAGTGCGTGCCATGCAATGTAGGAGAAAAAACACTACAGGAACGAGGATCCCGACTGCCCATCCAGGTAGAAGTCGGCAGGTGTCATGCAGTTACGCTCGCCTCATTTGCACGCCAGGTTTGCTGTCCGATGCTGTCGAAGGGCTTGGAAATACATATCATGAATCAGAGCCTCGTCGAATGACTTTCTGCGTACAACGTCGTTACCGCGTCAAGCAGGAGTAGTGAGCGAAAGCACCATACACTGCTCGTGCAGTCAGTGTATCCTCTCGAAAATCGCCACAACGATACAGGTCAGGGACAAGATGGAGGCATCACTAACGGGTCGACTGTTTGCATCACGCGGTATGTACAACAAAACCCGATGTCATGGCCTTGCAGCTGCCATTTCCTGATTCCCTCATGGTGCATCTCACCGAGCGCACTTGCGCTGAGGTCGACAAGCACTTGGGGCATCGACGGTGTCTTCACTGGCAAGTTGCTAGGCGCAAAACAGCGTCGACTGGCTCACAAGCCGCGTTTGTAAACGCTGGTCCTGGTGTGTGGCGCACCAGTAGTGTCTTTCGTTCGACATGTCGAATGGCGTTTGCATATCGGCAACTGAAGCATTGCTCTCGGCACTGAGCTTTGTCTGCTAAACGCATATCAACATTCGCTGCCGTTGCATTCGCGAGCACTCAGCATTTCAGTTAGCCGCGTCCCAGTCTTGATCTGCTTATCTTCTCACCGCCTGCTGTGTGCAATGGGTCATTTTCGACCGAGCTACGCAGCTGTGCGAGCTTAGGAGCTTCGATGCGATGCAGGTGTACGCATAGTAAGGAACACCGGATTGGCTATCGTAGACCTCTTCAACCTTTGTCTACTTCCTTCGCTCCTACCGAACTGCAGGGCCACAGGTACACCATAACAGTGCAGCGTTAGTCTCCACTATTAGCGCATGACAAGTGCAGTTCCAGTCGACGCTTGTGTTGTTGTGATATCGAAAAGGATCGGAAAAACGCGCTAGACAGTCTGACACGCTTCATCTTCTCGTTTTCTTCTTCTTCTTCTTCTTCTTTGCGTGGAGCTGCTAGCTGTAAGCTGCACCCAGCGCCTTCTTCGCTGGCTTTGGTTGTTTGCACGCCCTTCTTCCAGCACTTCTTTGTAGTACAGAAAAGCTGGCCAAGCAAGTACTCAAATCGTCGGGTGCGCGTGTTCACTGCAACGTGTTGAAGCCATTGAAGCCATTTGCTCGAGGAGGTCACTCCTGAGCTAGACTTGCTGGCCCCCACTCCTCACTCGACTAGTAGTTGACGAATCGATGCTACAGCGTAGTCAATATCGCTGCTCGAAACGTGCAAATTCGTCACGGCACGAATGCGATTGCCATCTGCATAGCCGCCAACGAGTACCCCTTTGTCATCTTCGAGCTGCTGTGCCAGTGCCATGGCGTCCAGCTTGGCATCCAGAGCTAATTTGAAGAAAACAATGTTCGTGTCGACACTGTCAGGATCGACTTCGATACCGGGTATCGTGGCGATACCGTGGGCGAAAGCTTGGGCATGGACGTGATCGTCCACGAGGCGGTCGAACTGGTGCTCTAACGCATACAGTCCCGCGGCTGCAATGATGCCGGCTTGGCGCATGCCTCCACCGAGTGACTTGCGGAGACGTGTGGCTTGGTGAATGAACGCGCTTGAGCCTGCAAGGATCGAGCCCACGGGGGCCCCCAGTCCCTTGCTCAGACAGAGCGACACCGAGTCAGCACCACGGACCAACGTGTCCATTGAAAGCCCAGTCGCTACGCTTGCATTTGCTAGACGAGCGCCATCCACATGAAGGCGAAGGTCCTGCTCGGCGCAGAAGCGCTCGACCGAGCGAATGTACGGGAGCGGCAAGACGCGACCCCCACAGAAGTTTTGGGTGTTTTCGATCGCGACGAGTTTCGAGCGTGGGTAGTGCGGGTCGTCGCTGCGAATGGCATTGAGCATGTCGTGGATAGCGAGCGTGCCGTCTGGTTGGTTACGTACTGTGTGCAGACTCACGCCCATGTACGCTGCTCAGCTCAAGCGAACAGCACGACACAAGCTACGGGTCAGAACATTTGACACACGTATCCACACACACACACCTACTTACCAGCACACGATGAACTGTAGCAAAGCCAACACGTACCGTTCGCTCCCCCGCCTTCGTAGAGGAAAATGTGCGCCTTGTTCCCGCAAATGACTTCGTCGCCACGACTGCAGTGCGTGCCAATGGCAATGAGGTTCGACATGGTACCGCTAGAAGTCGTCACAGAGCAGGCAGGTCTGGTCAACCGAGAGCCCCAGTGGCTGCCAGCCAGTCATTTGTGCAAACAGGACACGTACGAAGGCACGTAGAGCGCCGCTTGTTTGCCGAGACGCGCCGCTGCGACTTTCTCGAGCTGTTTCACCGACGGATCGGTGCCAAACACGTCGTCCCCTACTTCTGCAGCTGCAATCACTTGCCGCATGGCGGCATTTGGACGGGTTACGGTATCCGATAAAAGATTCACAAGAGCTCGTGGGGCTCTCGCCATCGCTCCTTTTGACTCGCTCGAATCGGACGACTGCAGGCCACATGGCCACTGCGTGTCCACTTGAGGTCCGAGGAGCTCATAGTAGGGACCTCTCAAGCGCTGCTGACTGCTTCGCTGACGCAAAGGCAGGGACTACCTTTGACCACCACTGCCACCGCTACCAGCGCCTCTGCCAACAGCTTCTTGTGTAAGATGGTATATTTCCTGAGAAGATTCGCTGCCTTATAATACACACTAGCAAACTGTTCATCACGCGTCCTAATGTCCCGACTCGCGCCCGCCACAACTAAGGGCAGCAGCAGCAAGCAAGATTCTGCGAGGGCGCCTGACGTTACTTGTACATCGAAGGAAGCTTTCTTCCGACTCTCCGCGCTACAAAAGTTGGAGAAACTCCACGAGCCTCACACGCCGGTGAAAGACACGAGGGCCGACGGCACGACTTGCTCGGTCGTTGCTCCAATCAATCAAACGGCGGACAACTACTTGCCATCTCCGCGTCGCCTGTGACTTACCAGGCGCTGTTGTCGTCGCTAAAGCCGCCGCCACGAGAGCCGCCGCTTCGGCTGCCACCGCCGCCGCCATAGCCACCACCACCGCCACCACCGTAGCCGCCACCGCCACCGCCACCGCCGTACCCACCACCGCCACCACCGTAGCCGCCACGGCTACCACCGCCGCCGCCTCCACCGCGCTCTTCACTACGGTAGTCCTTAGCCCCGAACCGGGAGCCACTGCGACCACCACGACCACCACGACCGCGACCGCCGCTTCCACCGCGAAAGCCGCTGTTCGCCATCTGGTCCAAGAACGCGGGAATTTCCTGACCGTTTTCCGACATGAGTTCGTACATCTCGCGAGCAATGTTGCGGTTCTTCTCGTTCATCATCGACAGCGCGTAACCAATGTTACCCACACGACCAGTTCGCCCAATGCGGTGGACATAGTCGTCGATGCTGTTGGGCAAATCGAAGTTGATGACCTGCGTCACGCCATCGATATCGAGACCTCGTGCAGCCACATCCGTAGCAACTAGAACCGGTGTACGACCCGACTTGAAGCTGGCCAGAGCCTGCTCACGCTCCCGCTGCGAGCGATCGCCATGAATCGATGTAGCAGGGAACCCCTCACGACACAGCATGTCTTCCAAGAAATCAGCGCCACGCTTTGTTTCCACAAACACCAGAATGAGCCCGTCCTGCACTTGGTTCAAAAAACGCACCAGGTAGTCCTCCTTGTCGTGCTGTTCAATGTACTCGACCGTCTGCTTCACGTCCTTCGACGCCGAGCCCACACGACCCACCGTCAAGAATATGTAGTCGCGCAGAAAGTCCGAAGCAAGACGCTGGATTTCGCGCGGGAACGTGGCACTAAACATAAACGTCTGGCGCTCACGAGGCATGTCCTCCTGCTCAACGATACGACGGATCTGAGGTTCAAACCCCATGTCAAGCATGCGGTCGGCTTCGTCGAGAATCAAGAATCGAATGCACGACAGCGAGATGCGACCACGCTCCATAAGGTCCACAAGGCGACCGGGCGTTGCAACCAGCATGTCGCATCCGCGCTCGAGCTCGCGAAGCTGGCGACCCACTTCGGCGCCACCGTAAATCACAACGGGGGCAATGCCCGTGCAGTAGCAAAACTTCTTTGCTTCGTCATGGATCTGCGACGCGAGCTCTCGTGTCGGCGAGAGGATCAACGCGGCCGGGAAGATCTTGCGCGAGCGGCCGTGCCCGACATCCGGCGGCGGCGTGCCGCCGACACGCAGCATGGCCGCCAGCGTCGGGAACAGAAAGCCACCGGTTTTGCCCGAGCCTGTTTGCGCACAGGCCATCATGTCGCGGCCTGCCAGGCCGATCGGGATTGAGTACTTTTGCACGGGCGTGGGCTTCGTGTACTTGCAGAGCTCCAAGTTGCGCAGCACTTCGGGCCCCAGCTCGTCTGGCGAGAACTCCAACACGGGCTCGGGCACGTTCTCGCCACTCATCTCCACGGGAATGTCGTCGTACTTGTCAAAGTTGATACCCGACGACTTGGCGTCACCAAACAGCTCGTGCTCGAGGCGCTCGTTGGGCCGCAGGTCGCCGTGGTAGCCCAGTTCGTTCACGCGGGGACCGCCTCCGCCGCGGCTGTACCCGCCACCGCCACCACCGCCGTAGCCGCCACCGCCGCCGCCGCTGTACCCGCCGTGTCCGCGGCGGTCGTCGCCGTCGCCTCGACGGTCCGACTCAAAGCCCGACCAGCGCGAGTTGGTGGCGCGGGGCGCAGCAGCGTCGCCACGGTCGTGCGAGCCGCTGCGGCTGCTGTAGTCGCGTTCGCGCGAGCCGCCCCGGCGGTCCGGGCCGCGACCACCGCCGCCGCGACGGTCGTCGTACCCGCCGCTGCGTTGGTCGGTCGTGGACCCGCCTCCGCGCATGTGAGGGGGTACGTAGGTGGATCGTCCTGTCGCGCAACATTCGTGCAACATGAAAAACAGCCCCCACACACACACACACACCACCAAGTGAGTCATCAGACGAGCCGGACAGGGCCAGTATAGCCCCATAGTTGACCAAGGAACACAGCCACGCAGACGAGCGACCTGTCGATGGAGCTCGAGCGACTACGTGGCTAGTGATCGAGGCGTGTACGCACCTCCTTCCGCCATTGTTGCAACTGCTTTCTGCTTCTTGGGGCTTCGTGCGCACAAAAAGGAATGGGCGAGGGGCGACGCGTTGGCGCCAGTCAATTTGATAGAGGCTTAGTGGCGAGCGTAGATTGGCTGAATGCCGGGACGTGTGGCCGCAATTTCACCCATTGACTGGGCGTTTTGCCGAGGGGTCGCGTGGCTACGACCACCGATTCGCTAGAAATCAACCACCACGTGCACACAGCCAGGGACGGCAGCCACCCGCCGAGATCCACGACATGGGTTCATCTTTTGGGTCCAAGCGAACACACGCGCGAGAGGCCGTGGGGGAGTGGGTGGGTATTAGGGTTGTCCCGCCGCACAATGAGTCAAAATGTAGCCAAGTTGTCAGGACTGTCGGCTCGTGCCCACGCGCTGCGACGGCGCTGCCAGTTTTGTAGCCACTTTCGCTAGTCAGGTGGTTTTCGTCCAGCAGTGCCTGTTGCACGATGGACCGCTCCCCGAGCTCAAGTGAGCTTGAGCAGAGCTGGCACGTCGGACAGCACGGGACGGAGAGGGAGAGCACCTCTGTCCAGGTGCCACTTGGCGACAGGAAGCGCTCTGTCACTAAAGAAGCGCTTCGCGTACTGTTGTCACCACAAGTAAAACTACGTGACGCACTCGGCGGCGGAAGTGAAGCAAAGCACGGGCACCATACACAGCTTTGCTGATAGACGGCAGCACTGGCAACGCACAGTCGTCGCTGCGTTGGAACTTGCCAGCAAAGGACCAGCAGATCTTGACGACGTGCATCTCGTTTTTGCAACGTGTGGAGCAGTCGTATCCTGACCACACGTGCACGTGCTGCAATGAACAAGTGTGCCTCTGAACTGCACGAATGGCATCAGGCATTGCCAATGTGCTGCACGAAGGGGAGTGCATCCAGCAATGCGCATGCGCATGTCGCCGCAGGTTGTCGTTCAGCCAAAGATCACTGGCACATTGATCTGCAGTACGAGTGACCCAATACGGTCAGTGGAACCATCTACAGTCGCAAGCAACGCGGCCGTCCGGTGAACAATGTCGACTAGCAGCAACAACGAGGACCAGGATGACAGCGACATGATGTCAACAAACACGGAATTCGTGGTGTCCTCCTTAGCTGACATCAGTTCTTCTTGTACAAGCTGAACGCCAGCACACCTACAGCAACCCCAGCCATGACGCCCAGTATATTCCGACGGTGTTCCTTTGAGATCGTACACGTCGTCCGCTTCTTTGTAAACTGCAACGTCGTGCGCGGGTTCTCAAAGAACTCAGCAATCAGCACAGCGTTCAGAGCTGCACCGCGCAAGAGCTGGTCGCCCGACACAAACAGCTCGAGGCCACGGTCGCCAAAGACCAGGCTCTTGCGCAAGCGGCCCGCTTCAATGTTGAACTTCTTGGTGGCATTCTTGGGCATGGGGTACAGCAGCTCTTCTGGCACATCAACGAGATCCACGCCATCGGCCTTGGCCAGCAGTTCACGGGCCCGGGCCATGTCCACAGGCTTGACGGTCTCGATCGTAAGCGCCTCCGAGTGAGCACGCATGACAGGGACGCGAACAGCAGTGCAGCTCACGGCCAGATGCGGCTCGTCAAAGATCTTGCGCGTCTCCCACGTCACCTTCATCTCCTCCTTTGTGTAGCCATTCTCCTGGAACTTGTCAATGTGCGGAATGAGGTTGAACGGCAGTGGGTACGAAAACACCTTGTACGCCACAGCTTCGTCGTCCAAAAAGGCTTTGGCACCGTCGTGGAGCTCCTGCATGCCGGCCGCACCGGCACCGCTCGCAGCTTGGTACGTCGACACAATCAGCTTCTTGATGTGGAACTCGCAGTGCAGCGGCCAGAGCGCCATGGCAGCAATTGCCGTCGTACAATTGGGATTCGCCACGAGTTTCGGCGGCGGTTGGCCACGTCGGGGAAGGAGCACGTGGCCGTTGATCTCAGGGATCACGAGCGGGACCGCCGCGTCGCGACGAAAGGCCGACGAGTTGTCAATCACCACAGGTCCGTGGCTCACTGCGGCCAATTCCTTGGCGTACTGAAGCGAGAACTCGCCCGACACGGCCAAGAACACATAGTCCAGCTTTGCTGCGGCGGCGATCGAGAAGAGCGTGATCGTCACGTCGCCAAACGGCGTCGACACTTTCGAGCCCGCGGACCTCGACGAGGCAAACAGCACGAGCTGTTGGACGGGAAACTGGCGCGCAGCGAGCACGGAGATGAGCTCGATCCCGACCGCGCCCGTCGCGCCGCAGATGCCGACCTTCTTGCCCTCGCGTGTAGCCATTTCGTGGCGTCCGATGGGTCGTTCGTTGGTCGGTTGGTTGGTCACGAAAGAGGCGGGGGAGGGGGTACGCCGAGCAGGTACACGAGCCGGATCAGAAAAACGCTTGGGGTACAATCTGCGCATCCCAAAATTGGCGAGGGGTACGGTCCTTCTTTTGGGATCGGTTTTCAACCCAACTGGTTCCCTCACGTCTGCACGTCGGCATCAAAGATCCCCCTACGCGTCGTTTCGTACCATAAGAGAAGACCTCTCGCTTGGCCTGCCCCATGCTGACGATGGCTGCGCTACAGACTGGACGCCTATCGCTGCAACAAACGTCGCGTCTAGGCGCACTGACACTGCGCACGTTTGCGTCCTTGGCCGATCCCCTCGTGCTGGTGGAGAAGAGGGACACGTACGCAGTGGTGCGCTTGAATCGCCCTCCAGTGAACTCGCTCAATACGGCGGTACGAGAGCGAAGCGCAGCGCCTTTTGACGCGCAGCAGAGCTCGTTTCTGATGCTGATGACACCCATACCTATGTCCGTTGAAACAGCTGATTCAAGAGCTGGACACGACGATTCAAGAGCTCGAGGCCGATAAAAGCGTGCGGTACGCGGGGAAAGCTGCTCGTATCGTGTCAACGCTGGTTTTATTCATTTCTAGAGGTTTGTGTGCACGAACTTGTTACGTTGATCCAGCGGACTCATCCTGGCGTCATCAACTGCAAAGGTCTTTTCGGCGGGGCTGGACATTATGGAAATGTATCAACCACATGTACGACCGTGGTGGACTTAGGGGACTGGTTTTGTACACTGTTGTGATGGACGTTTGGTGCCTCAGCCTAGCAAAGTCAGTACGTTCTGGACGTCGCTTCAAGATCTGTACCTGCGTCTGTACACGACGCGTCTGGCTGCTGTTGCGGCGATTGAAGGTCATAGTCCTGCAGGAGGCTGTTTGCTCGCCATGTGCTGTGACTACCGCATCATGACGAGCGGCAAGCCCATGATTGGTCTCAACGAGACGCAGCTGGGGATTGTGGCCCCCTCGTGGTTTCGCGATACATTTGTCAACACTATCGGACATCGAGAGGCTGAGAAGATGTTGGGGCTAGGATTGCAAGTGGATGCCACAAAAGCACAGTCGATTGGACTCGTGGATGAAGCTGTTGCACTCGAGGAAGTGCTTCCGCGGGCTGAGGCCGCGATGGCCAAGTGGCTGGCCATCCCGGGTACGTGGTAACTTTGTCCAAGTAGTAGGGTGCAGCTATGCTTATCGTTGATGCAATGGTTGTATCCAGACATGGCTCGTGTGAAGACCAAGCTGCTGATGCGTCAGGAGACGGCGAATCGACTGCTGGCGACCCGTGAAAAGGATCTGGAAGCTTTTACGAACTTTGTGCAAACGGACAATGTGCAGAAGTTCCTGGCATCGTACCTCGCGTCTTTGAAGAAAAAGTAGCTCACGCGCGAGCAGCTCACGAGCGTCGCCGGTGGGCAAGAGAAGTTCAGGCTCTGTCGTATGCCTACATCGTGAAGCGTCTTTGTCTGTCTTCAGAATAGCAATAAGTGCTAGACCCTCATTGAAGACGAAGCGATTGATCCAAACACATATTGTTCGTCACTTGCAAAGCACATTGCGTTGATGTAATATCGTTGGTAGCAGCGCTTATCGGCCGAGTCATGGATGTCACTATGTGGGGCCAACTAGCCCCACAGCTCGATAGTTTACAAGAGATGACCACACTCGCGGCTTCACGATACAACTCGCGTCTAGCTAATCGACAGAAATGCGTAGGTAGAGTCAAAGTCTGCAATTTAGGATGTAACAATTGTGGACAATGTAAATGTGGTTCAGGGAGTCGGTAAACAACATTGTCTGCGCGCCACGGCATCAGCACTTCATGACGAAGTAGAACGCTCGAACATCGCCATGTAATGTGGTCAGGCATGAGATGACATTCTTGCACTCGCTCGCTCTTGTGAGCATGTGGTCCAGTGTTGCAAAATACGCGGCGTGTTCAGCACCCAAAGTGCTATCGGGATCCTAAGCGATGGCTAGCGCGACATCCCCGTCCCTTTGGTAAGTGCATTGCTTCTATTAGCGCTACGCTTCAGCAGATGCAGTTTCGGCAGCACAAAATCAATACGATGTCAGTGTCGTGCGCAAGTCGCGACGTTTACGTAGATGGACAATGGCCGCGTACTTCACCTTGCAATGGGCATTGGTATACAGGACATAGTTCTGCATGTCAATACAATCAGAGACGGTGGAATAGACACTACCGAAATACACGCATACGAACAAACATCACTAGCGCCCTAAATCGTCAAGTTCCTTGGATTTGGTCCCCACCGATACCATTTTATAGGCAGAGAAAGTCGTCCATTACAGAAACGACTCTGCCTCATGCTCATGACATCATCAATAGTAACCTCCCTTACACTTACACATTGCTTCAGTAAGAGCGGTGCACTGCGCAAGCGAACTTATTATCGATGCGATCATGCACTACACAATATGTAAAGTGGATATATGTTCTTCGTGTCCATGTCCCTGGAGATGCGTAACAGAAGCACCACATTCGATGCTCCAGTCTTCTCGAGCAGACCTTACACCACCTCACTTAGCCTTTTGTTGTATACTCAATGAATCCGAAGATGGGATAGCGAAAGGCCGCATCGTGAACATTCCTATTCACGATCGTACAAGAAAGAAAACATGCACAAAAGGTAATGCGTCAAGAGTTATGCTCCTGTCTTGTATCAGCGGTGCTTCAGCATAGCTGCGTGATCCATTGATTAGATCAATGGGTGTCTTTCATTGCAGCAGAGCTAGTGCACTACCGAAAGAGCGCAGATAGCTCAATCACCACAGTCTAATATCGATAGCCATGGCATTCCGATACTGCTGGCACGCACGTCAACCAGTCGATTCTGTTGAGGGATACATGGGAGCATCGCTTATTCACAATGTGCTGGCGCCAAAGGAGTAAAGTCGGACGACGTGTGCCTCAACAGTGTATGTTCAATGAACCCAAACCCATTGTAAGCAAAGAAAACTTGTCTGCACTTGTTCCGCTGCAAATGGGCTTGCACAGCGTATGGCACCGACGCTATAAGGTTCAGTAAAGAGGCTGCAGCGTACATCGTCAATGCACTCACAGCTAACTGTATATTGACTCCAATCACAGCACTACGCATTGACGAAAAAGCTCGTGCATTGATGAGAAATTGCTTGTTGACCAGCTTTGCCTCTGGCATCGACACCCTCGCACACTATCTCGAGCGATGCTATTTAGTAGTCATATTTTTGTAAGCTCTTGTGAAATATTCGCTGTTTATAAAAACTAATATATCGCTTTATGCTGGAAATCGGAAGACCTGATACATAGAAATTGAGCTTGCGTCAATAGAAACGAGGCAGACACGGCCCTAGGCTAGCTTGGATCGTAAATGCACCTTTACAGAAAGGCTGAGTACGCAACCAACACCTACAATTATGCAGCCAAGCGCGGTCCGCTCATTTCTTGCACCTAACATTCTAATAGCCGATACGTCAATCTCTACATAAGTCAGCACGAAATCGCAGTTATGCTCACGCACGTTCTATCATCAGGCCAAACATCAAAACATCTCTTCATCTCAGGACTCAAGAAGCAAAAGTTCCTATTTTCGTGGACCTCCTCCGCCAATCGCTTCAACAGCAACAGCAATAGCAATAGCAATAGCAATAGCATCCGAAAAACAAAACAGCGTCTCCCCCACCCACGAACCAGCGCACCGCGTCCCACTCACCCAATCACCCACACCACACCACACACCACACCACTTCCACACGGCCCCTGTCGATAAAACCCACCGCTCGGCCCGCCAGTGGGTCCCACGACCGCCGCCACCAGCCGACCAAACCGCTGCGCGACGTCCTCCGCCCGCGATGGACGTCCTGTCGCCCCCTCCCGCGCCCGCCGCCACCACTGGCAGACGGGCCGTGCGCGTCGTCGCGGACGCCTCACTGACACTGCGCGTCCCACTGCCGCGCGCACTGCGGCGCCTCGAGACGCGTTCGACCGCTTCCGGACGCGCGCGACCGGTCGCCGCCACTGCCACTGCCACAGGCGACAGCGACTGTGACGCGTCGTGGGAAGAGCGCAATTGGGCGGCGCGCGACGCGGCAGTCGCAGTGCGTGCGGCGCGCAGCGAACGAGCGGACGAGTGGCCGCCGCTGCCGCCGCCGCCGTGTGACCTGCCGGAGGACTTTCCGCGACTCGTCGTGAACCTCACGCGCGTGCAGCGACAGTGCGCGGCCGCGAAGACGCTCGAGGCGGCCGAGTGGGACGTTTTGGCCGTGTGTCGGCGCGTCCGCCGCACGCTGCACGAGCAGTGTACCCACTTTGTGGAACTGCTCTTTGACCGCCGTACGTTGCGTGGGCTCTGTCTGCCTCTCTGTCTGTCTGTCTGTCTGTCATCTGTCTGTCTGTCTGCGGCTTGACGAACTCTCTCTCTCTCACACATTCTCTCACTCTCTTCATCTTCTTCTTCTCTGTTGCTGCTGCTGCTGCTGTTGTTGTTGTTGTTGTTGTTGTTGTTGTTGTCTCATTCCCATCTGTTTGTCCCTCGTGTATGTGTGTGTGTCTCACCCCTTTGTGGTCTCTCTGCGTGTCCATGCGGTCTTGTTGGGGTGCCAGAATGGGCTTTCCACTGCACCTACGGCACGTCGCGTCCACTGCTGGACGGTCTCCACGCGGCGTTCCCGACCGACGTGTTCGCCTTGCTGGACTACCCGACGGACATTGACGGCGTGCCGTTGCACGCGTTTTTGCACACGCTGTCGAGTCCGTCACGATGGAAAAGCGTCGAGTACTTGCGCACGTGTCTCTGTCGGTGCTCGCGCGATCTCCAGTGGAAGAGCGACGTGCTGGTCGAGTTGGAGCTGCTGGCCGAGACGGAGTTTGCGCAGTACGAGAGGACGTGGCAAGAGCAGAGCGACGAGATTGATGAGGTTCGTCGGCTGACTCGTGCTGCTGCTCGTTTGCAGCGGTGCCGCTGCTGGCTGCGTGACGTGTGAGAAACTGATGTGCGACTTTCGTCCTGCCTCGTGTCTGTGCTTAGCTCACTCGCTTGCGCGATTCGTTTCGGGCCAAGTTGGAGAAAACCAGAGCAGCGAGTCGAGCGAACCATAAGCTGCCTCAGGGACAACAGTATTTGTGGATACTGCGGCAGCTCGAGGATGTCGAAAATCGGTTGTTGACGTTGCTGGAGGTTTTCCTGAAAGACCCCGAGCTGGACGAAGACGAGTGTTTTAGTGCGTTTGCCAATCCTGGTGGAGAAAGTGGCGTCACTGCGGGCACGAACGTGCTGGACATGGTGATTGCTATGGTGTTTAGCCGCCTGCCGCGTGATTTCAGCCAGCAGACCACAACAGAAGAGCATTTCCAGATGCTCTTTGATCACCATATTCAGATACTGCGTCTGTGGAAAAAGGACTTTGGACGACTTCCGTCAAGGTCTCGAGTAGCATTGCAAGAAGAAAGTGCTCGAGATTCAGAGGCAGGTAGTACTCGTGTGTCCTCACTACGCGAGAAGCGAGCTGGTCTTGATGTGTCGGACGAAGAGAGCGTGGTCGGACTGATAGAGGATTGTCTAGCAAACGGTGGCGATGTTGCAAATCTGGATGAAGCGTCACTTGTTTGCGACCGAGAAGCTGACAACATTGGTCGAGGTTGTGATAGAGCGAAGGATAGCGAGACATTTCCGAGCGACGAAGCAGACGGTTACGGCGCTGACTCGGACAGTGACGCAAGCGAGGACGATGCTGGAGAAGTTATAGCAGCGCAACGTCAGAGACATCCGCGGAATCGTGTACCATCCAAGCTTGGTGCGGCAGAAACTGTTTGTGCACTGGACCGACCGCGACGAAGACGCACGAAGCAACTGAGACGCGGACAAAAGTCACACAAGTCGAAAGTAGTCAGAAGTGAGAGTGATGCTGATCGAGAAGCTGGGTCATTCCAGCCGTTCGCATGTACAGGAGCAGTGCCTTTGCTTCGTTTAGCAAAAGAGAAAGAACTGTTTTGACTCGCGATGGAGATGTCGAAGAATCGAAGATTGGACTTTTAGGTCTGCACTGCTATCTGTCTGGTGCGGGTGTCCCGAGTTGCTCATTCGTCAACGCCAAATATGTCGCAGCATCAGGCGCGAGAGAAAGCTTGAGGAGCATTCATCACCACATGCCCGGGCATGACTGGATGCATATTGGCCGCTACTCCAGACAAATACACCACATGTATCATCTATCACGCACCAAAAGCACCGGTGTAGCTGTATGAGTGGAAGCGCTGGTGGCTAGTGCACAGACCGTTGTGCCATTTCGTAAATGGTCACTGCGCTACTCGAATGGACAGCTCCAATGGTCCGAATGCAACGACATGAGTGTCGATGAGTGTCTCGTGCACCTCCACTTGCTTTGCTTGACAGTCGAGACGGAGCACTTGGCGATGAAATTGCTCCGTCTCGAACTGAGGTCATCAAGATGGCCACAGCAAACACCACTACTTCGCTTCGCTGAAATGCGTCTACCAGATGCAAGCTGTTCCCCTAGATGAGCGTCGTTGGAGCAGAAATGTCGGTAGTAAGGCTGCACTTGATCAGCGTCGACCTAGTGGGCGCAGGGCGTGTAGTTCTCACGGGTGATCAAAGACCGCGTCCGGATTGACGAGATGGCCCAAGACTGATGCAAAGAGCACAACGCGACTGCACGTAGACTCAACGTTCCTGCCATTTGTGCTTCGCACGATACTGTGTTTCGGTTTCTGCTACGACCAGCGCAGTAAGAGAAGTGTCGACCGGGCGAATCGTTGAACCGTCAGCTGTCGGACCGAATGTGCCATAAGCGCACGTACTCGTGGATGTGGTGGGTGAGTCCTTTGGAAAGGCAGCTTTGTCCGTTGCAGTCTTCGACGCCTGTTTCGTACCTACTTTTCGGTGGCAAAGTCGACGAGTGACGCAGCGAGGAGTTTGCACTTTGCGTCCCTGCGGTTGCGAGTTGCATGAGACGGACGTGCTTGTCACGTAAGTGCTGCTGACAGGGTAAGAGAGACAAGTGGCTCAGTCAGCTCCTGCCCCAACTCGCGTTTCCGTACTACCACATCAAAACGTTTTGCAAGACAAAGTAATCTCTTCCTCTCGACTGAACTGTCCTGGATGAAAACAAGCAGTCTGCATTCGCGGGTGAGGTGGGCTCATCGATAGGTGCCATGTATTGGTGGTGTCGGTCGCCTGTGGGTAGCTGATCAGGAAAAAGGTATGAAGAACCGGTGGGCGCTGAGCAGCAGTCCGATTCGCAGCATGAAACGTTTCAAGCTGCGCAACAGCCAAACGGCCGACGTCTGCATTCGGACTTGCGCTGGCTGCGATCGCGTGACGGAGACGTTCGGACATCATGTCTTGTTCCATCCAAGTCTGCATCGGCTTCTTTGCCAAAACCGTTTGGTGGGATGCGTTCACCGCCATCTTCACATATGCAGTCAGTTGTTCACGGTCAAGGCTGCGAGACCTCGCTTTCAGATACGTGGAGGTATCTGGTAGTTCACCAGGACGTACTTCGCCGAAGATGCAGATGTATGTGGCGATCAGGTCCAGGTTTTCGTGCGTCAAGACATTCTCTTTCTCCAGTGACAGCCCCAGCATCTTAGCAACGTCATCGGGCGTCTTTTGACCGTTCGCCCACCTCCGCATCAGTTCCCATTGCTTGTCCTGCGCTTGAGGCCGATTGATCGGGCTGAGCTTCTCCCTCGAAAGCAGACGTACGAGTTTGTCCTCGCCATCGAAGCCTGCGATGAAAGTATCGAGCAACGCAGTCGTTGTTCCTTCTTGGTCGCTGAACTGCTTGATATACGTCGTTAGCACCCCGAGGTTTGGGGATGCAAAAGGTCTGTTCGAACCCACGTCATGCTTAGCTTCTGCAATGCACAACTCCGTGAAGACATCGTGCGGATCCCGTTTGACTCGCAACCACTCCGCTCGCTGTGCCTCCGTTTCCACGACATGTTCCTGCTGATGAGCCCGCACGGATTCTTGAATCGATTTCATCATCGCGTTTCTCCCAGCCGGCGTCTTGCTCGCATCGACGAAAGCTGCTGTAACAAACGTAGGCGTTTGTTCGGGTGTGGCGCCCAACCACCGGGTTCACTGCGTCGTGTGTAGAGATAGCGCTTGATCGTGTCCGCGTCCAGAGGCCCCGCGTGGCTACCGGTGAATTTGGCGACTTTTTCCAAGAAGGTATCGTATGGTCCCCAGTGCAGCAATGTTTTCCCGTACTGATTCGTAGATCGGTCCTTGCTCCGGGGGTCGCGCCCTCTCTTCGCCAGACGTCGTGGGGCTTCGTGTACTCTCAACAGCCGCTCGACGAGAGCGCCATTGTGGTGACCTTCAGAGGAACGAACACTGACCGGGAAGTTGGCTTCCGTCGTCGAGGATCCGGTATGCTCGAGGAGTCTGCGTTGCGAGTCAGGACCGCCCGCAGTCGAAGACACGAGTGCGAGAGGGCAGTAAAGCCGCATCGTTGCGTGGCGTCCGTGGCAACCAGAGGACGAGCAAGAGAATTCCAGAGTGACTGGAAGCCCAACTTGCAGAGTTGTCCGAGGACGTCAACAACCAGAGCCGGATGATTGCAGTGCAGGCCAAGCGCCCACTTGTCTTTTCTTCATGGCTCGTGTCTACTTTTCGCAAGGACTCGCAGCATTCGTCCAGACTCGGACCAGATGCCGGCTGTTCGCACAGCGACAACTGCCACTTCAGCTACTGCGAGTCTTTGCGCTGTCGATGAAGAGCTAAGTGCACTGTTTCGTTGCGTGAAGCCCTGCGCGAGCCCTACAGTCTCACGTGATGTTGTTGACGGCTGACCCTCTCAGGCGACTCATGATCACGTTACGGGCGACTTGTGCATCGATGGACGGAACATGGAACAGGACGTTCGTAGCCACGTGCGCTGAGTTCTCGTTTGCCGCAGCAGTCAGCCAGCGGCTACATCCAGCACCACTAGTCAGCCCCCACTGCTCTACTACCGAGTGCTTGTCCTCCGTCTTCCTCGTGCAAAAGCCAGAGGACCACAGCCACAACGACAGCCGGTGCGTGCATCGGATCTGCTGCGCTCTCCACGCTCGTCTCCACATCAACAATTGCTTCTGTCGGCTTTCACGCGAGCGCTTCGTAGCCAAAGTGCGCGCTCGAACAAACCGACACCTGGTTGTTACTAGTGTCGTTGTCTTGTCGCTCGAGTCATCCATCCATCCATCCAGCCCGTCGTCGCTTCAGCCGTGACGATTCCTTTCGCGCGACTCCATCCGACCTTCACGACCCAAGGAACCCCACGTGCGTGTCGCTACATCCCGTGCGTACGGCGTTGAGCTTACCGTCTGCAACCTCGCACGAGCGTGCAGTGAGTGGCAAAGGAAGCCGCGCCTAAGCCAGAGCGCAAGGAGAGCATCGAGAAAACCAGCTGACCGTACTCGAATAGCACATTGCTACCGAGCAGCAGTTGTAAAGCGGTTGCGAGTCGCAGCAGTTCGTTCGGCTGCATCCGTTGTTGCATCACTGAAGGAACTACTGCTACTTATCGGTTCAGGAGCTCCTCGAGTGTCCCTATTTCTCATGGTCCTCCTCCTCCTCCTCCTCGTCAGCGCGTAGCTCCTCAGCCAGTGTCCCACTGTGTGTGTCGCCCCTTCTACTCGCTCCGATCGATGTCCACGAGCGTCTTTAGGTCGCGACCGAGGGGTACTGACTGCACTCTCTCTGTACGCGGCCCCTGCGACACGCGAAACCTGTAGCCACTTGGCCGGTCCACGCCGTCCCCTGTCGCGCTCGTGCGTCACGCAACTTCGACACGACATGTCCCGTCTGTCCCTTCGCGTGCACCACACCACGTCGTCGCAGCCAACCAAATCGTGCACCTGTCCTGCGTAGCGCGTCAGTGTCTCATTTGCTCGGGTAGTGGCCACGATGGACACACTCGGAGCCGCCAAAGGCCATCGCAAGCCCAAGGCCGGCGCGAAGGTGAACAAACAGAAGCGCAAAGCGTTCGAGAAGCAGAAGAAGGCGCAGCCGTCCCTCGCTGAGCAACGCAAGAACCCCAAGGCTTTTGGCGTCGCGAAGGCTGGGCGGGCGCGCAAGACCATTAAGCGCAACTTGGACCGTGCCCATCGGAAAGAGCATGTCCAGCAACAGGATTGTGGTCTTTGGCTGCTCCCCTTGTAAGAAATTGCGTGCCTCAACATGCTGTGGTAGATACAGGGCCACCTCCTTACGTCTCCAGGATTGCGTCTACCACGTACACGGAACAAGTAGCCAATATGTCTCTATCGGGTGGTGCGAGGCTGGAAGCGCTGGCTGTTATGAAATCAAGTTCTGACCGCCATGTGACAAGTAGCGCACTTACCAATGCCTGCAGACCGGATTCGAGGATGTTACGGCAGCTGGTGATGTCAAGGGCAGTGCGGGGACGGACCGATGTGGGACTTTGCACGGGTGCTTGCGTTAAATCCACTTGTAGCCCAATTGGGAAATTCAGACTGCCGGGGTGGAGTCGCTCTGTATGGTGCATGTGCGTCGGAGTACAAGTATTGTGTAGCAACCATTCACCGGCAATGCGTAGATCAGTGTAGCGTTCGCTCGTACGTCTGTGCAAAAGGCGCGAAAAGGGTAGATCAAAGAAGTCGTACCGACCTTGCTGTGCAGCAAGCCCGCCGCATAGTCCTGCGTCAGTGTGACAGCTAACATGGAAGTCAATGGTTGTATTGTTGCGTGTGGGTAGTGTCGATTGTGACTATGAGAGGCTTGAAGAAAAGCACGGCAAAGTTAACGAAGTACCTAGTAATGGAGAGAGTAGATTGTAGTGTGCACAGTGCAAGAATGGGCTGAAGAGTATGATGTAGAGTAAACGACGCCTCTGGTCTTGGTCTGACGAGTACGAATGGGCTTCAGTGTGGACGTAGCTGGATGCCCGAATCAACGAGTGCTCTTTTGTCTGCCTTATGAGCCTATGACGCATCAATGGTACGACGCATGCAAGTATTAGCTTGGTCTGCACAGTGCTGGGGGAATGGGTAGAGGAATGTAAGGGGTGAGGAAGGAATTTATATAAGGACTTCGTGAGCCACTGGGGTTGTGAATGATTTGAAAGGGTTCAAATTCCAAGTATTTAGTCGAGCTGTGTGCACACATAAAGTCACAGCAAATCATTTAATAGTGAAAACAGGTATGTTGAAAAATGTCGACCTTGATGGGACTCGAACCCACAACCCCCTGATTAGAAGTCAGATGCGCTATCCATTGCGCCACAAGGTCATATGATAGCGAGAGTGTAATATATAAATAAATACCTAATTACGCACCAGTAAGACAATGTTAGAGGGGAACTAATGAAAGGATCATCGGTTCGAAGTCCATCAAAATCGATTCGAAACGTCAGAGTTTATACAGCCCGTCACGCCATTAATGCTGACACATCGAATGCAGCTATTTTTTGAGCTGCAGCATACACACTTTCTTTTGTACCAAAAGCTCATACGCAACGGCCCACAACTCACGTACGTTATTCACAGCAATAACTGTATCCTAAATGCGATCCAAAGAGTCAAACAGTATTAGGCCGTTAACGCCCTGTCTCAAATCGATTACCTCAGAGCAATTCATTGTACGTCTGGCATGCTGTCAAATAGTAACAGCTTGTAGAATAAACGTTGACATGTGGTATACCTCATTGCTTGCGGGCCATCATATGTCGGCAGCATTAGACATTTGCTTTAGAACGACGATGATTTGTTTGAATACACGGATTAAGACATCAACGTTGACACTGCTACTTCTGTCCACGTCGACGACAAGCCAGCATGACCAATATATAAACATCATACTTACTTCTCATGTGCCACGCACACTCGAATAAAGGCAACTGCTCGATTATAGCTATATGGGATAGGCCTGAGCATTTGATTCATGCGGCTCATGTATCAAGTGTACGTCTTCCACGCCACAAGAAGCCAGATTCATTTTGACTGGTACTATTATATCAATATATCCGACAAGATCGACGAATGACGCGCTTGTGCATGAGCAAACGGCGGCAGGTACGCTCAACAAAGCTTACACAAACCGTTTCACCGTTTTTGGTGACGGAGATAAGTGACATTAATGCAAATTTGAAGATTGGCTCTTTAAAAAAGCACAGTATACACCGTTGTAAAGTATGTATTAGCGAGAACTTGCACACGCCATTTAATTCAAATTTGAGTTGCTTCGCTACTCCATCAATGAACGAATCAACTCAACAGCCGTTTGTCTTCAATGTTTGATACAAAACCCTATAAAGGTATGGAACCTTTAGTGCACCCGATAGGTATACAAAGCACCATTCATTGTATCACTTTGCCAAATTGTTTTGTAACTCCGCCCCGTCATTATCGTAACATGGTTTACAAAAGCAATGTGAAGGGGCGACTTTAAACAAGCTGTTTGTCATAATGATACACTTTGTCTGAATTGTGCGTCTGACTTCAGTAGTTAATAGCAATTATGTGCTTTGCACAAACGCATTTGATACCTTGATCCCATGTGGCCAAAGCGCTATAACTACCGTGTTAGCATGTATGTAGACATGGGAGGGATCTGCAGGAGCTAGTGGCAGAAGACTATCATTCGTATGTGCATCGACTAGTTTTATCTGCATGTGGTATAGTAACTTATAGAAGCGCTGTATGTTTATAATACGTACCGGTTTGAACATATTAACTCACCAATGGGCAAAAAATCACTTATGTATAACCCCGCCCATTGCCTTGACTGGTTTAATTATGAGGGCTTAGCTCAAACTGAACCGTATCAAAATCTTGTATTACTCACAATCCTTACGCTGATGCTAAATGAACGTAATCACCGCTTATGCGTAAGGTCATATTTATGGGTAGATGTCCTCGAAAGGTTCAATGGGAGCATTACTTAACAAGCCAGTAGACTTGCATCAAACTTTGGATGCTTTGATTTGGTTTAAATTTTAATATATATCTATCAATCATACTTTATCTTACATCCCTATCTTTATTTTCGTAACCGTATTGAATCGATCTCTACCTACTCCATAACATCCCGTGGTGTCTGCGAACGATATACGTGCAGATACGCCTACACAAAATAGCTGCAGGCATCGTCAGCCATGCGAAACAAACCGAAAGCATATGCCATTTAGAGCCTGAAGGGATGTATTGTGAACATACTTGACGTAAGAGCTATATGTGCGACTCTTCATCGATATTTTGTCTCCCACATACGTATATCGGCAAAATGGATAATCACGTAGGTAAATTCTTTTTTTTATTTGCACATCTATAACTTTCTTTCGGCATTTACGAGTCTTTGCGAGATCGGTGCCTGGACTTAGCATTACCGCTGATGATCGTGGAAATACATTTCGAGGGCAATATACTTGATTCCGTACAATTACATATGTTTTTCTTCCCAAATTTCGGATCAATTCATGACGTAGATATCACTATACTCGGTCTTACCGCACAATATATACGTTCATTGTCGATAACTTATACGTCTACATGCAATATTGGTACATAGGCATTAACATATGTCACACACATCAATTTTCCTCACAGGAATATGAAATATCCGGTGAGTATATCGATCATTAAACTGACTGTAATCCTTCTACAAGCTTTAAATATATAATTCTTATAATTATCGACCCTACCTTGACTTTATAAATTTTTAGTTTGGGTATAATGACGAACATCAATGGCATGACCCTTACTACAATGTTGGAATCCTAAAAGTTAGATATCTAAACACTTACTTGTCCTTATGCATGCTCTCATTTGTACTCAATATATATATATATATATATATATATATATATATTGATGTTAAATTGTGATGACTCTTTTCTATTAAGACATTATGTCTTTATCCGATATTATATCTGCGAGGAAGTCTTGGTCATCGAATTACAAACGCGACTATGGACCTTCAATGTTGTCCAGACATGTAAGGAATGTGGTAGAGCTTATACACCATTAATGATTGAAATTTGTTTGGTAAACTAATGAAGTGTTCTGTTTAAATTGGCAAAAAAGATTTTACTGAATTTCTATAAATATAATGCATTTTTATAGGGTAATATGTCACATATATAGCTATGTTCAGTAATTATACGCAATGCTACTCGTCTTTCAGATACGATTCTGGTGACCCAATATGTTTTATTACTATTTACGATTATTAAAACCATTTTTTGCGATATAAATCTTCACTATTCATCAACGGCTTATAACAGCTTGCTTCTATTTCATCGTGAAATTGATCATTTCGACAATTTTGTGAACTCGAAGCCATCATCCAAATTCTCAATAATTTATTGTTTCGCTTACTGCGTATGACAGAAGTGCCCATTTCTTTCAATGTCTAAAATTATATAATTGTGAAGTATAAAGAACATCATTTCGCAAAAAAACACGGTGGTGATATTCGGTCAACTTCGAGCCGATACGGCAACTTGCTCAAGCATGTTGTGACTATCAATCGTTCGGATGAATGCGCTTCACAAGTATCTCCATGTTATTCATAGTTTTGATCAACTCAAGTAGTTTGTGTTAATCTAATATCAAAAGTAGAAGACAATCCGATCTTCATTCTGCTGTTTGTAGATAAAAGCAAATCGTCAAATCAAAACTCGTTAATGCATAAAGACACGGTTGTACTCACCCAATGATTGATATGCTTATATTACATTAATCACCTCGATAAAGCGCCGTGAGATATAAAGCTATTGCGAATAATTAGATAGGCGCGTGACACATTTTGGCATATTCTCATTTTTTCTTTCCGAATGTGCATATTGTTCTACTATTTGCTCAATCGCCAGCATCTTTCTAAGACTACTTGAAAAACCTTATCGATGCGCGTAATTTGATACTCGATTACGAAATGTGAGATTTATGTAACCGATTTGCCGCACTTTAAGTTACGATAATCATTCGATCTATCAAACGATCAATACATATTCTTAAAATCAATTCGAATAAAAACCTGAGCTGACCGATCCATAAAAGCTAACATTCCTAATTAAATTGCTAAGTCGTCGCAAGGCAAATTGTATAACAAACATTTTATGTGATATTGTGATGTGTTGATACATGAAGATACCCATATTAAGCTATATCAGAAACATTCAGCCATTCTAGAGCGAGTAAAAA